GGATTGTACGCCCAAGTTATCTTGTGGGTGATTGTTTAGGAATAGGAATGTTGTGTTGTATTTTAAGTAGAATAAAAATAGCTTTTCTTTTCCCCCATAAATAATGTGTCCCTATAAAGATGCACAGCACAGAAATAGCTCAATTGCTCTTAATTCATACCTCCTATGGCTTTATTGCAGTTTTCTATGTAACGTGTCCCTAGAAGAGCCCAGGCAACTTTAAAAAGAAACTAGAACAAAGTTTTGAGTCACATTGCTATAGTCCATATGTCGTTAGCAGTGGAAGGGATTTTCATGCATATCTGGCTTCTATGCGTGAGTGTTCATAGTGTAGTTGTTTTCAACTTGATCACTTTTGGGGGGAAAAACATAGATAAGACATATATCGATATTTAAATTTAGATATGATCTGGGCTTACCTACATATGGAGTTAGTCTCTAATAACTTCCAGTTAAGAAAGCACTTCTTTAAATTTGAGGCATTTTAAATAGCATGGAGGAATGGCTTCTTAGAAGAGTACTTTTGTATATAGAAAAGAAGGTTGGTTTCTGAGAAAGAGTAAATGATTTGGAGCGAGGGAAGACAATAAAAAGTATTGCTGGGCTTATGTAGAATGGCCTAAGTTGAAGAAAATTGAGGAGAGAGGACTAAAATCTGAGATGATTGGGCATTTCCTTGTGTCTCCTTCCCTCAGCATTGGGTGCAAGCTGTTTTTTCTTGAAAATTAACCTATGCATACCGTATGTATATTTTAACACTCTGTGTGTATGTACAAATAATAGTACAGAACACAAAAGTTCGATCATTCTTTTCATCTTGCTGGATGCCTTTGTACCTGATATTTGTTCTGCACTTCGCACCCATAGGGCAGTGTGACAGCTCATCACCTCCCCCCACACTCGTCCATGGGAAAAGCCTCCTTGTGCTTTTCTCTAGGTCCATGGGAAGTCATGGATGGGAGGATTTTATTTATTCTAGTAGGGCTGTCCCAAAAGAAGAGCCTCAGGGCTGAGAACCTACCTCTAAGTATTGTTCTCCTTAGCTCTCAGAAATAACGTTGGTCCTCAGGCTGAAACTCTTAGGCCCATGTGGACTTCTTATTGACCCCATTATGTTTGAGGAGATAACACTCTCTTCTTTCCTACTTTCCTTGCTGGAAATGCTTGCCCCCAGATGTCGTGGGCTGTTCTTCCCCCCGCCGCCCGCAAGTGACAGAGAGGTAAAATCCCTGAACACAGTAGCTGTGGAGTGAAACTGGAACAATACTGACAGCCAGCATCCTTTCTACCTGTTTGTAACAACCTAGTGCGATAACCCTGAGTGGAAAAAAAGTCAAGTCTTTGGGCAACCTATCTTCTAACAGACTTCTCATCGATTAGAAAGCAGAAGTAATTAGCAGGTTTTGCGTGCGCTTGCAGATTGTTGATCTACTTCTCCTGGGTGCATTGCTTGTTTGTTATGCCGCTTGCACGGGCCTGAGAACACCAGCGCGTTCTGGTAGTGCACAGACCTTTGCGAGGAGAGGGCACACGCTATGCTTCATGTGGGCGCCACGCCGTGAACTCAAGAGCTGGTGCGTATACCTCTTCTCGAGCATTGGGAAGTACAGAATTTGTGAACGATCTTAACGTTTAGTGGTTTATTTTGTGTGCAGTTTAGGTGTATATGCTTTTGTCTGTAGATTGTACATTAGAAGGGAGTATTTGCCAAGTCTCAGTGCAGTGATGTCTTAAGCTTTTTATGGACAAGTGATGGTGAGTGAGCCCAGTGTTCTTTATTGCTGTTTCTAAAAGCAACACAAAATAGCTGATTCATCTTGTGATTCTTGAGCAAAATAGGCTGTTTGCTATGTTGTTTAAGAATTAATTACTAGCATGATTGTGCTTGTGGCAAGAGTTTCAGCCTGGTTTTCTGAGGAAATGATTCTTACAACTGACTGATGCAGTTGTGGTTCGTCATCTTGTCTCTTCTTCTTCTTCTTCCTCCTTCTCTTGAATAACTTCTGAACTCATTGGTCAGTTCCAATTGAATTTATTAGAGAGTTAAACACTGCCAAGATAACTAAGTTCCTGCAAATACTGTGAAAATTGGCAGTTGGATAGAGAGAAATTATTGCTTCCCTGAAGGGAAAGACACAGAACTCTGTTTACCCATTCTGTTTTTCTGTCAGCTTGCTGGTCAGTTGGTTCCTGCATAATTTTTGTTTTATCACACTATATGTTCATTCTTGTTGGGAAGCTGTCAGAAAGGACAAAGAAGGTGGAGCCGTTGAGGCTGTTTTGGAACTGGTAAAGAATAGTATACAAAGAATGCAGATCTAGAGGAAACTGGATTCAATTAATTCTGCTACTCATGGAACACGTTGTTACTCTTTTAAAGTAATGTTGTAAACTGAAATGTCAATGCTTGCATTGCCATTACAAACACATTTTATTATAAGTGTATAACATAACGGCTATGCTAGATGGTTTTCAGGTAAATAATACCCTGTCTCTATCCCAAAGAACGTATAAGCAAAAAACTAGCAGGTCATTCAACGTTAGAATGCTGTGAAATTCCTGATCTCGTCAAGATTTCTTAAAAATGTTTTCATACGTAATGAACCCTGAGCTACTGCAATTAACTGTCCGCAGTAGCAAAATTTAATTCCTGCAACGCAGGGGCCCTTGGCATCACCTCAGGTATATAAAATCAAACCTCTTATTATGAAAGATAGGTTTTACACTGGCAGTAAACAATAAGTTACTCTGTTTTACTGGAGTATGTTGAGTATGTTGATCTTTCCCTCCATTTGCTTTCTGTTGTATGTCTGTCTGCAGTCTAGTTTATTTTGTTTTTCCAGTCTCTCAAGTTTAAATATAGCTTTCTACTCTTTTTCTCTGTTATAGCCACCACTATTTAATTTGCTTTCTGCCAACTCCTCTTTCTTTCAGAGTTCTTTTTATGCTTTTCTTGACATCCAGCACAGGATTAGTCTCAGGATTTCTTTCCCCACCGCACTCCCCATCTTCTCCCCCTCTTCTGATGTGTTCAAGATAGAGGAGGAATAAGCTACCAGTTCTTTTGGAGTACTAGTAAATTATGTAAGAGTGTTTTCCCTGAAGTGGCTGAACTCCTTCCATCCTTTTCTCATACTTTTCTGTCCTTGTATTTACAATATCTAAGTTTTCTTAGCTTGCAAATTGAGTAAGTGAATCCCTGCCCCTCCCCTCCCCCCCCCAAAAAAAAAGCATAAAAATCCTCTAGTTCTCTTCCTTTTCAAGTCTGAGTTTTTCATCTTTTTGTCTTTCTGCTCCTGTCCTTCCCTGGCTGCCCCCAGTGCTTTCCTGTCCTGTACACTATGGGAAATTGAAAGAGGAAGAGAATCTGTGCTCTACTGGCCTCCCATTATCTTTTTAATGCTCCAGATGGGTGTACAGCTGTCTGTGCCATAGGATTCAGTAGTATATCTGTGGAGCTGGAAATTTTGAGAACTCTTCTTTTTTTGGATTTGATTGGAGCGTTAAAAATTAGAAGCATAATAATAGATGTATTGCCTACAGCAGAGTACAGTAAGAAAGCGTAAGCAAAGGTTAAAGTGCTTATCAGTTAAAGCTGGAAATGCTTTTCAAAGAATCATGCTACTAAGACAGCTATTTATTTAAAATCTATTCTAATAATACTGTGTCAGTTGTATGTGAATTTCAGCTTTTGAGATAAAGCTTTCTGTGCATGAAATTACTATCAGCTGTGCTACCTGGCATTTGGAAGAAGGTTTCTGAGTCATGTACCATGCTTGATTGCTCTACCAAATTATGAGTAAAATCTCAACATTTTTTTCATAGTTTTCTAAATTACAACTGATGGGGAGACTGATTTACAAAAGCGATGCGTTTTTTTGCAGTGGCATCCGTAGAGTATATATATAGTAGGTTCCCAAGTTGGAAGCCAGGAGAGTATGTGGGAAGTGTGGAAGGGGAAGGGGGAGGGGAGCAAACAAGAAATTTGGACAAAAGGAAATTGTTGATGCAAGTTAATGCCTTTTCTTAGTGATATTGATAAATTTCTGTTGCTGGTCAAGCAGTCTAAATTATTCTCCTTCTGATTCTGTTTTCTTTTGCTTTTCTGCTGTTGCCTGGAAAACATGAGTGGAATCTAGTAGGACAAGAGGCTGCTCTTTCATTGTTTTGTGGCTCTGTTGCTGGCTATTGTCCTCTTGGCTCAGGCAGTTCATGTCACTCTTTATGTGAAATAAGAAAAATGTTTCTCCCTTTTTTCTTTGGAGATTACATTTCTAGACTCTGTAGTTTGCTTTTATTTGCAAAGTAAGCAATGTTAAAGTAAGAGTATCTACCACCGACTAATATATTGCTGCTTGTGCTGTCACCTTTAGCACTCTGTTAATTTGGATGGGCTTGTTAAGCTTGTGGGCTAATGACTGAGCGTAAAGCAGTCTTGCAATCTAGTATCACTTTTTTAATGTTCTTTTGTTTCACTTGAAAGGTGGCTAAGCAAGAGAGTGCATTTCATGAACTTTTTTTGTAAGGAGCTAAAAATGGATCACTGACAATGTATGTTTTCAGCAACTGGAAATAGGGTCAATTTTGCCCTTAAATAGGAGTAGAGCTGTTAACACCCAGTAAAGTAATGCAGCCTTGAGCAAGGCTTGCTTTGCTGTCACTGAGGTATTGTCTGTTGTGGCTGACTTAACTCTATTCTTTACTACATTGCTAATTATTTATAATTTAGGATAGCTTTTGAGGATGTTCTTGAAACAAAACTGAAAGGTAGCTATTTCCTAGTATGGAAACACACCCATGGATATAGGGGATACTGCAAAAATGAGCTATTTAGTTCTCCTGTAAGGAACGGTTTTTGTAGCTAATATTTATGTGAGACTGCTTCTTCATTGCCCTTCTTTTTCCCATACTGATCATTTGTACAGTGGTAAAGAAAATACCTTGAAAATGGAAGATACTCTAACTGTTTGTGAATATCTGTTTTGCCTTTTCTTTTTTAGGCACCTATTAACAGGCTAAAAGTGACTGAACCATGGCTCAGTTTCCGACACCTTTTGGGGGTAAGTTGTTGATAGCTTATTCTGAACTATTCCTATATGCAAAAATTCTGCATAAATGCATTGCTTTCCAAATATGTTTGGTATGGAAATGTTTATGGATATGTATCTTTCTGAGGTGATAGTTTATCTGACTTGTGATGTTTCTGCAGGCCCAGTAGAGAACACGCATGGAATCCTGCAGAGATATCTCAGAAGAGTTGAGCAGAATCCCTTTTTGTGCACTGATCCTTTAGAGTTTGTTTGTAACTGTAGGACAGATCCAGGCCATTCAGTCACTGGCAATAGGGCATGGCCTCATTCTGCAGTTATTCGGTTTTATCTGCCTGTCTTAAGTTTCCCAGCTCAATCCTCCCTCCTTTATCATTTTTTTTCCCAGAGAAAATTCTAAAATGCCATTTAAATGTTACAAATTCTTGCTTCATGAGCATTAGTTGTGGCAGAGAAGTGGATGCACTTTTTCTTTTGTGACTCCTGGGTGTTTTCATCGTTAAAAAGGACAGTGGATACCTTTGGATGCTGTCACTTTGCCTTTTCTTCATATCATCGCACAACCTGTGTTTAGATTCCGCAAAAATATTGGCTTTTTTTTTTAGCCCTCCGTTTATAACAGTGGAAGGTGGAGCGTCTTGAACTTCCCTCTTTTCAAAAGACCTAGAAAGGGCCCTGTTAGTTCAATAGAGACATGCATCTTGCTATCCAAGTGAGACAATTTTTTTGGAGCAACCTGTCCTCCCCTTTTTGCAGCCAGTCTGAAGAAAGATTACAGAGATAGATATCAGTGCCGAAAATACGTAACCAACCACGACAATGTGTAGCTTGTTCAGGTTTGTAGGAAGCAGCAGCAAGTAAGGACTTGCATTTCCTCCTGTTTTGGCCTTTTAATGACCCAGAGGGTTCCTCAATGTACAGTGGTAAAATTTGAATCTCTTTTTGCTACCAAAGAGAAACAATAGTCATGGATTCAGTAGTTTCCACAGGGGTAGGATGACTAAGGGTTGTTGAAAGGAGACTTTTTATAGGCATCTTTTTTCAGAAGATAAAACTCAGACTGGCAGCATTTTAGTTCATTTGGGCACAGAGCCTTCAGATAACATCAGGTCAGCAAGAACAAGCAGATACTTTTGAGTTTTTGGGACAGACTGGTTAATGAGTGGATATCATTACAAGTTTGGTTCCACTTAGATTGAAAACTGTTGCATATGTTAAGGGCTTTTCTCTGTATATGCAGGTGTGATTCTGGTTGTGTGTGTGTGTGTGTGTGTGTGTGTGTGTGTATACATATATGTATATATGCTTGGGTATATATACACTATATATATGGAATTCTAGTTTTTGGGATCTGAGATAGCTAGGAGTTAAATTTGTATTTAGTATTTCAGTGGGAGACTTTAAGAAAGAATCATGTAATTGAGAGTACGTTGTTAGAGACACCCAGTTCTCGTTAAACACAATTGATTGGATGCAGCCTTCATCAGTTTGAGAAAGTCTGTGAAGCACGACAGAAGAAATGTCCCTTCACAAGTGGTAGTGAGAACAAGCGTATAACTGGAAGCTACCTTCCACTGCCTCGGTTATCTTTAAGTCCGTCTCCCTGGAATTGCATCGTTTGGTGCCAGACTTGCTCAATTAGGGAGCAAAATTGGCACTGATTAAATAAAGTCACTGGACAGTGTCACATAGGATACCCCTCTAGATGGTATAAAAATCATGGTCAGTAGCTTTGTTTCATCCCGATTTTCACAACTTAAGAGAAATCATGATGTGAATGAAATCATCTAGTTCAGACCGGAACATTTTGTTGTGTTTAGAATCAGGGCTGTGCTTTGCCTGTACCCGTATTTAGACATGTAAACATACATTCTTGATGAAAATTTTGTCTTCAAAGTGTTCGTTCTCCTCTACCATCTTCAGAGAGTTCTTATTGCGTTACAGATGAATAGCAGCTTTCATTTTTCAGCTTTATATAACTGCCGTTTGGTCTTGCATATGTTGTCCAGGATCCTGTTAAGTGTAGTACACGGCTTTAGGAAGGAAGGAAATCGCTCTTTCTTCTCAAACAACTTTTCTGATCTGGGCACTCTACAGAAAGGAAATTGAAATGAGCACATGGCTAACATAGTTTCTGGAATATCTCTGATTCGAAACACGGTGTCAGGCAAGTCTTTCAGAATATTCATCCTTGAACCAAGTCTACCCAGTGCTGTCATACCTCCTCTTAGAATAATGACAGTAAAAGCCTAAGATTGTCATAAAAGGAAACAAATGGTGTTGTAAAGACAATTCCAAACCTTATGGGGAAGTTTGACCTTTCTTTCAAGAATGCAACGTTGCTTTGTTACCTGCGGTCACTGAACAAGATGCAGAAGTGATAATTTATGCAGTCTCGATCTTGGGAGAGCCCTTGCTCCAAATGTGTATTTTCTATGCATCCTTTTTTATCCATCCACATTCCTCTGCTTCTAAATACAAAGAATTATGTTTATGTTCTTTCTTTCTTTCTTTTTAAAGAATCTTCCAAAGTCAGCTTGGCATATGGGTACCTAAAAGGGCCCACTATTTAAATTGGGTGAGTCGCTGAAAATCCATAATACTGCTCATTTTAAGGATTAAAATGAATACATCTGAAAGGATTTGTATAATTGTTGAGAAGAGGGTGGTCTGCTTGACCTTCTGTTCAGTTTGGCCAGAAGAAGACATTGCCCAATTCAAATATGAGAGCACACTACTTCACTATCGCAAAGGAGATGATTGTCAAACCATGTATAAGAAAAGAAGGTTAGAGGGCTTGCTGCTGTATTCAAGAATAGTTTTCTTATGAGTCAGTTTTGTGGTTTGGTGACTGACTTGCTTTGCGTTCAAATATATTGAAATGCCCCACAACCTCTGAGTTGGGATCTGGGATCTGAAATCATGAATAATGTCTCAGTGCTGAGTAAGACCCTGCTTCGTGCCCTCTCATAGGTCTCATTGTTCCCTCAATAATGAAAGATGTAAATGAGGCAATGCTAGAGATGTTATTCGTTTTCTGACCGAAGAGGCTGAAAGCCCAATGGCTTGCTTGGGTTAACATTGACTCTTTTGCTATTTGTATTGCACAAAGGAGATTTACTGTTTCAGTACAACCAAAATTCTGTTTGGAAAAAGTAAATACTGATGATCATTTGTTCCAGTTTCAAGGACTCCAGGGAAGAAACACGTTTCATTTTAAAATAATTAATAGAATGCGTTTTTAGTTATCTAATGCCATGAGAGTTTTTAGTTTGGAGTTTTACTCCCTTCTTTCAGAGAGGATGGAAAGAGTTGGTGTTTTCTGTGGTAAGGGAGTCATGTATAACTCAAATTGAGAGAGCAAGTCAGAGAGGCATTACAAATGTCATGATGTTTTATTTTTTCTCCCCCATATTATATTCAAGAAACGTTCCTTTCATGTGTAAGCTTCTACTTCCAGCCTTAGCACCTTAGGGCAAAGTAATCATGTTTCCAGCACAGGGAGATTTTCATCTGCTTTTAATTGACCTCTTTCTGAATATTGGTCATAAAGTCTTAACGCCATTTCTTTCCTCTTGTCAGTAGTTCATGAGAAGATGGAGGAGATAATTACTTATGTCAACTATAGCATTTTGGGATGTTTATATTCCGAGGAGAATCTTCTTTCGTCCCCATGGGGAGCACAGCTATGAAACCTCTTTACAGTGCCTGTGTGAGCTTGTTCACTAAAATTCTGTTTCTTTGGACTTATCTAAAAATGTAATTTCTTTGATGAATTAGGTATTATGGATCTGCCTTTTCCCAGAAATATATAGATTGTCTGAAACAGAGAGGATAACCAAGAATACGGTTTTTCTTTCATTAGGTGGAACTTACTGTTTTGAGGGATGCTCTCCTCTCCTTCTCCATTCCCTTTTCTCTCCAAACAAAGTATACTTTGCCTTATAAAAGTGGATTTTAAATAGAAGAAATTTAGGAGACCGGAAAGTCTCATGTTCTCCATAACTGCTGATTCTGATTTTTGCCTCAGCCTGCAAGTAATTTGAAATCTTTGGTATGAATATTTGTGGGCCTTATTATCTGAAATTTAATCTCTGAGAATTTAGTGGTGAATGGTAGAACTCCTCTTTATTTTTCTGCTGGTCTACATTTTATCTTCTACTATTTTTCGACGGAACTGTGATTCCATTAATGCAGATGCCTTCAGATCATTATGTACCTGTAGAGGAGGAGTTACCAGAAATTACAGCAGCATTATATACTTCTACAAATGTTGAAATCATGATGTTAAATTATTGAGACTATAGCCTGAAATATAGTGTTAGACAATTCATTGGAGGGTCTCAAACAGAAGATGAAATGTTATGTTTTCTCTGAGTACAAATAGTCTGAAGGATGAAAGTGAAATGTTTGGAGGAGAGAAAGAACTGCTGTGAAAATGAAGGTAGAACTACAGAAAGCGTTGTGGAAGCACAGCACTGTAGAAGGGTAGTAAATCTTAACCATGAACTAAATATTGACTTGCAATTTCTGAGTATATTGTGAAGAATGTAGTCTGGGTAACGTAGACTAACTCAGGTAAGGAAAGGACCTTTCCTCAGGTTTGTCATTCTCAGGTTTGTCATGCTCAGAATAATAATGAGCATACTTTCCTCAATTGGGCTATCATTGCCCATGAAAGATGTTTACTATCTGTCTGCATGTTCACGTTTTTCCTAGAGAAATAAGTAGGTCTTTTCTTATGACAGAACAAAGCTATATAGGACACAAATGATGAGTTGAGGTACCTTTTCAGTTAAAGGAGCTTCTTTGCAATTTTCCCACTGTATGTGCTGCGGGAGGCAACTGACCCCCTTAAATATCCAGTGGGATAAAGTTTCTGCATTTTGTCCTCTCTTATGTTGCTGTTGTCTTTTAATACCCCATTTGTAAGTTTGATTGCACTTTGAGTAGTTTAGCTGTAACATGAGATTCTTGGGAACCAGAGAGGTGAATCAGTGCTCAGCAGTCATCTTAATTTGGTGACACCTAGGTCTAATATGATCATTAATGTGATCATGATAACTATTAACTGACTTTTCAAGGATTCATGCGGTTTTCAGCTATAGACTTTGGGTTAATGGCTTCTACGTGTATTTAGTATGTTTTTTTAGGTCCCATATGGTATAACATATCCTACTCAAAAATAGTGGAGTATTTATATAGCATTTCTTAATTTTATTTCTCCATTTTTTTGAACTAGGCAACCTGGATATCTGGGCTATTACTGTGGAGGAGCGAGCTAAACATGATCAGCAGTTCCATAGTCTGAAACCAACATCTGGATTTATCACTGGTAATTAAATAGCTTACATTTCCAATTTTGTTTAGTTAAATCAAAACTAATCGGCATAAATATGTACAGAGCTGCCCTGGGAGAAATTTGAGTATAAGAATTTGAAAAATTCTTTCTCATTTTATATCTCATCTTTCAAATACCTTGCCATATCAACAACATCTTTTCTGATATTTTAATGTAAGCTGTACACCTGGTTTATGCCACTTGACTTTTTTCTAAGTAGGATTAAAATTGCTTATGACCGTGGCTCTATAAAGCAGCTCTGTTGTGTAGAGCGAGTTGATACTCTGCAGAATTAGAAGTCAGGACACAGAATCACCCTTATCTGGTAACGTTGTAGTGCATTAATGTCCTCACTGAAGTATGTTACTCTCTAATAGATTAGTCTGACAGAGAAGTCTGTTTAAATAAAGAAAAACAGATTTAACTAAAATCTGTTTCAGAAACTGTTGGTTGACCTCTTTAAAAAATCTAAATTGCAAAAATTGATTTAAGTTTTGGAAAACAAGGCAGAGAGTAAGGGAATTGCACTGCTACACTGAATTTTCATTAAGCATGACTAATTTGCTTTGATCTTTAAAGGCAGTATTATGTCTACTCTTTTTTTGAGGGGGAGCGGGTGTTGCATTTAATTCTCTTTAATGCTATCTAAACTTGGTCCTTTCCTTACTCAATTGAAATGAAAGGTATGGAAGTGTTTTACCTTCTTTGCTGTCTGCCTGTCAAGAGGATTTCCAGAATGTGGAATCAGAACCAGATTCTTAACAGTTTCATCACAGCTATACATGCCTTTAGGTGCACAATTAGATGTTTCTGTTCCTGTTACATGAGGGACATGATACAAAATCTGCTGTAGCTCTCTATGCAAGCTAATATTGTTTTTATTGACCTCCTTTGATATTTAACACTATTTCTAGTCTGTTTACAACTTTCCTTTAAAGACCACAACATTTCCAAGTGCCTAAATCCTTTAGTGACTGTTTTGCTAGACTTGGAATTGACAGTCGGAAAATGACTTTGAAATTTGCTATTACTTTCTTTAATGGTGACTTGTTAAGTTCACGTCAGGTTCACATAAAGGTCACTTTATTTAGTTTGTGCCAGCTAATGGGTGTTGTACTTACAAAAAGGCTAGGACAGAGTTTATATTGATACATACTTTCTCTGGAAAAAAACATTCTTGTTCTCGCAAGGCATGTGATTCCTGCAAAGGGAGCTGTTGGCAAAGGTTAGGGAGTGGGAACCATGAGTTTCCCCTTGTCCAAAGTGTTCCTGTCCAGTTGGCTTCATTTGAGATTTAAAGAGCATGTGCATGTTGGAAGTGCATTGTAGATTCTCAAGTGGCAAAATGAGTTTAAACCTTATACTCTGTTATGTATGTTTAACATTAAACAGTTATGCTTTTACTGTTCCTTCTGACTTAGACGTCTTGACTCACGATTTTCTCTTTCTTCTTTATGGTGTTTTTAGCATTTTTTTGAAATGATGTCCTATTTATTTCATAGGTGATCAAGCTAGAAACTTTTTTTTTCAATCTGGGTTACCTCAGCCGGTGTTAGCACAGATATGGTGAGTATATAGAGGGGGTAAAATTGCAGTTCTGTGAGCATGAAGTTTACTGGAACAGACTTGTGTAGTAATTATATTTCACACTCTGGGACTTAAATCATCATTTTATCACATGCTTTCCAAACATCTACAAGGCAAATATGCTTTATAGTATGATATAGCTGAGCTTTTAATTTACTACCTCAGTTATTGGACATAGCCATCCTTCCACAAAGTGATGTTTTTGAAGTTGGTGATTTGTATCCCTCATTTCAGACTAGCAGAATGCCTTCAGCTTTATTAAAAACAACACTTAATACAATCGTTAGGCACAGCAATTAGTATTGCAAGTCTTTCTAATGGGACAGCCTGTGTAAAACGTGCAAAATTTGTTATGGAAATGTAAGACTAGCTCAGAATATTTCCATTAGAGTTAGTGATACAGCTTGAAAGGGGATCAATTTTTACTATTTGTTGGTGAGTTTCAACAAACAAAAATCTGCATTGTTATATCCTACATATCACATGCAGGACTGCAGTTGTTTCTATTCCAAATTATATGACCCTTCAGGATTCAGAAGTGCTAATTTACATAGATTATTCAGAATATGCATTAATTGCATAACTACTGAAACTTTTTTGGGTGCTAGACAGAGTGGAATAGATTTATTATTTTTCTTTCTAGTTTGGAAAAAGCGGCAGAGGGCGGATGTGGATGACTCTCAATTTATCTGTTAACTTTTCCTCTAATGTTAATTGTTGGAGAGGAGTAGTTTATTGCAGACATGACAACTTATGTTAATTGTTGGAGAGGAGTAGTTTATTGCAGACATGACAACTTTTTGTTTTAGTACAGGCTTCTAAAGGCAGAATCTTTCTCTGGCTGAAGAAAGAAGGGAGTTACTTTGCTGCAAGGAAACAATTGCTGTGGAAGTATACATGCCTTAACGAGGGGCTGGATTATATGGCTTTTGTTCAAATAGTTTATTTTCTTTCAAATGATTTTTGGCTTACAAATATCAAATCTGGTCTGGTTATCTTATTTGCTGGAAGACTCACTGAAAGTTCAAACATCCCTTTGGAACTTCTCCTGCCTCTTAATTAAAGAGCGAAAGAAGTTTTGTCTTAAACAAGACATCCTTTCTCTAAGAATGTTCCCTAGGCATTAGCTTTAAATAGGTGTTAACAAAGCTAAACAGTTGTAAATAGTCTGACTAAAAATCTCTTCCTCTCTGAATTATTCAGTTTTTCAGTCTCTTGAGAGGGAGAGAATCATTCCACTAGTTCTGTAGTTGTCATAGAGACAAGACCTGAACTTGCACATTTTTTAAATAAAGCTGAACTAAAACTTATTCATGCTGCTTTTATAAATCATAAAAAAGCATGTAGACATCTCTCTCTCTCTCTCTCTCTCTCCCCCTCTCTCCTCCCTCTCTTTCTCTCTCACTATCTCTCTCTCTTCCTTTTTGGATCGTCTCTGAAGTAAGAGACGTAAATTAGATCAGCTTGTATATTTTCCTAGTTGGAGTTGGAATAAACAAGTAAGAAAATAATCACAGAAGCTACTAAAATGAAACAAAACAAACAAACAAAAAAACCCTTCTTTTCCCACAACTCAAAGGATTTAACTCTTGATAAGTCAGTGAACGTCTGTATGCAACCTACCACGTTACTGCTGTCCCCCAGAAACAATTCAAGTTAGACTCTTTAGTGGCAAGAAGTGCTTTGCAGCCTCCAAAAGTCATCACAATATGTTCCTGACTGCATTGAAAAATGTGAATCATTGTTTGCCCTGGTTCCCAGGAGTAGGATCTCTAAGTGGCACCCTTGCTTTGTGGTTTTTACAGTTAATACGTTATTCTAAATGTCATCTGACTGTCTAAATCTTTAGTAACATTGCTATGGATCCATGAGTACTTTAATGCAGGGGGGAGTTCAGGAGTAATAAGCCCAGAGTTTCTGTGGGAGAGAAGAGCTACATAAAACTTGTCTTCTATTCTTTATTTCCTGAATAGGTGGAAGTTTTTGATGATTAGTGGAAGAAAAGGGAAGGTATAGCAGTCTTTAAGGAAGCAAAGTTGTTATTTTCTGTTAGAGCAACTTAGGGATATCTTCAGATTAAGTTTCTGATTCTGGAAATATGGAAGTGTACATGTGTGTTGGGATTGTTTTCCCATTCTTGATGACTGTGCTAATTTGAATACAGTTGCTTATATGAATCCATTTGCAAGACAGGAGCCTAATGTTTGTTTCATGAAGGATAACCTATAGCTGCATGTAGACAAGCCTATCTTAATACAAAGTTTCATCTCTTTTGTTGGCTGTGCAATTTCTTGTCTAGGAAAACATAACTGGGAAAGGAATTGGAGGGAAGCAGCCACACAAGTGATTGGCCATACTGCTTTCTGAGCTCCCTGCAGAAAGAGCAAGCCCTCTCTGAATTCCCAAACATACTGTCTCATGAGAGAGAATTTGATTTACATAAGTGAGCAGTTCATACTGTGTATAAGGATTATAGCTATCTTTTGTTTTACTTTTTAAGTAAAATTAAATCACTGTTTTTGCATCATGGAAAGAAGTTTTCACTAAAATATGAAATGCTAGCTGGCTGAAATGTCAGCAAAATGTCTTCTGCCTAAGAGCAGCTTTAAAAATATTCTGCAGTTGGTGTAACTTTTTTCTAAGGTCAGACTCTAAAGAGTGTATTTTATTTTTATTTCTGCTGTTAACCAAAGGTTACGTAGAATTTATGTTCCCTAAAATCGGTAGCTCCACGTGTTTTTATCATTCAGATTTCCTGTGTCCCTTCTACTCAACATTCATTTAAGGGAAAAAGGGCTTCTGGGACCTCAGTGGAGCAAATTAGTGGAATTATTATGGTCTAGCATGACAACGTCTTTACTGTTCTACCCTTTACAAGCTTTGTAGTCTGCCAAGCTGGTAATCTATTAAGAAGCCTCTAAGTAGGCTTTGAATTGAGACTCCAATGGCTCAGAAGATAACTGTTTTTAAGTACGAAATAATCTGGCTTGCTTCTAAAGCCCTCATGAATGATGGCCTCAAAAAGCATCTTCCATCTAGGCCCTGTCTCTCTGGGTTCAAATAAGAACTAAAATCAATGCCAGCTGTTTTCTTACTTGTTTTTTTCAGTAAAAATTAAAACTATTAGTAGAGTTACCCTTTTCTGATACATGCTTCCCTCACAACTTTCTTAAATTTATGTAAAGCCTGGGAAGGAAAGGGTGGCAATGCTGTGAATTTTAATTCTTTTACTATACATGCATTTAAGTGACTGACACTAAAGATATCATTTTTCCCTTTGTATCTGACTTTTATAATGCAATATGGGACTGCATAATCTGATATAGGGATATAAAGCTAAATAATTCCAGACTTTTGAACTGCAATGAGGTGTCTATGTTTTAATAACTCTTTATTTCCACAGAGATGTTTTGTAGCCTAATAAAAAGCGTATTTGAAGCAAAAAAAAAAAAAAAACAAACCTGCATGCTCAGTTTTTGCCTTTCATAGATGAAGAAATTATCAAGTTGTCTTCTTGTTCTGCGGAAGAGAGCAGAGAAGGAAGAGGGAAGAGATCTCTGGGGGGAGAATTTTGTCAGAATTTGACATCTAGCATTATGATGCAGCCCCCTGCAATTATTCTCATTAGGAAGCCCCTGTTACAAACACAGGCATGTTCTGTGAAATATAATCAATGTTTAATCAACATTTAATCCATTTACTGCTCTGCACTGGCTTCCGGCCAGGCCTTAACTGAAATAAATTAAAGGACATTACATTCTTTCAAATTTCATTAGAAACAGAACAGTGAAATTAGGTATTGTTTACTGTCGGCCACTTGCCACATTGAAGGTGATGTTTATTCAAAAGTAGCACTGTAATCTCATAGCGTGAGACTAATTTCTTTAAAAATAATTGCAAATGGAAGTTGTCCTATTTATGCACTAAAGATTTTGACAGATGAAAGCTGATTTTTGTTAGCATGCTGTAAAAAAATATGTTTAGATTCGGCAGTGTGTACATAATTTTTCTCACTGAAATTTGTGCTGTCAATTTAAAAAACAAAACCATTGATGTAGGGTAAATGAGTTGAACAGAAGGTCAGACGTTACACTAAATTAAAAGCTCCTGGTGATTAAGTGGCTAGGAGTTCAATGAAAGCAATGATACCGGTGCACATCAAAGTTCTTATTACTGGCCAATTAATATTTTCTCATGCAGAATTCAAAGACATGCTATGTTCTAGCAAAACACTCTCTTTAAGTAGTGTCTGGAGAACCAAGGTCACCTACCATGTGGTATTTACTCTTACTGCATTTTCATGTTGGATATTTCTGAATGGTCTTTAATTGCCTTCAAAAAGTGTGATTTCTGCTTGTAAGTATCAAACAAATGAAGCTAACTATCTGTTCCTGGTTTCCGTTGTTCTTAATACTCCGTAATTTTTCTAATGAGGCTATCGTACCTCAGTATTTGTTTACTGTATGTTGGTTTTCTTTCTAATGCAAAACCCGCATAAGGGAGCACTTCAGAAAGGACATTTAGCCATTAAGTTTCTGAAATTCTAACGCTTCGAATGCCTTTTGCCTCATCATATCTCTGAATATTTCGGATTTGTAAGACTTGCAGCATAAATTTATTCTAAGTAAGACCATTAGAAATCCATCATGACTGTTTATAGGTCGTGACTAATGTACATTATTTGAAATACTTCTGTTTTAAAAAGTAAAAAGTGTGAGGAACAAAATTAAAATTTACTGAGTAATACTGTTCTGTAAGCCTGAGTGATGACTTGGGACTGCAGAAATTATTCAGCATGCTGTGGGAGCATTTCTGTGCTACTGTCGTAAGAAATATCCACTCTGACTTTTTTTTTTTTCTTGTCATAGATAAACTATGAATTCATTCAAAACAAATTTGGGCTTATTACAGAAATTTTAAGTTGATATAAACAGTTCTGATGTAGAAATATGTTAGAGATATGTAAACATATATTTGAGGTTTATATCCATTTCTTTGCATAGGAAGAAAGGATACTCTGTATGGAGACTTGTACCTAGTGTCTTGTTGCATATATACCCCACGGGACAGAAACATTTGCTGGAATCCAATAAACTTTCAGTATTGTTATGTCCAGTGAAAGCCGTGGCCTGTCAGAATTAATAGAACATGGATAACCTCAATAACAAAATGTGAGAAGCCTAGATTGCCTTTAAAACAAACAAACAAACTGTTTTCCAGAAGTAACTATACCTCTCACTTCAAAAGATCCATTTTTATTAATAATTATTGAAATCTATCCTTGCTGTTGCTTGGTGCTCGTAGGAGAGAGGCTCTTCTGCCCTCCTTAGGGTTCTCTGCCTTCCTTAGGGTTCTCTGTCATCCGTGCAAGTTGCTTCAGAACAAAAGTACTACGTCTTGCGTTTTAACTTAGCATGCCCATACATCATGAGGTACCAGTGTTATGCCTGCTGTCCATGGAGCAGTGGTTAGAAGCTGAGACTTGATGGCGGTGGCATTCTCCCCGGGAGGAGAGGTAACCGTTCCAAAGTTGTATTTCCCTTGGTCCAGGTTGGCCATGCTGATCTTCTCTCTTCCTTCTGCTAGTTGGAAGCAGGTAGGCAGTCTGACTGCTACAGCGGGATCTTTTTATTTGACTTTGTCAAGTGAACCACATCATATGATCACGACTGAGACTCGAATCTAAATTGCATTATACTGCCTGGGATCTCAGAATCAGTTTGACTACAAATTTAGGCCTCCAAAGACTAGATGGTAGTGGGGTTAGAACAAAGTTTAAAGTTACTGAAGAGTAGACAGTTTTCATCTGTAAATTAAACTCCCCTGTGATATGAAGCTTCAGGAAACAACAACTACAAGTTTTCACATCCAAAACCTGCTCTTCAGAGACATGTATGTAGCAATCCAATACCTTTTAGGGAGTGATGCAATGCTTGCTTTTTTTTCCTAACTGTAAGCCTCAGAATATACAGTCCTCTGACCCAGCTTTTTCCTTCTCTAAATACCGCTTCTAGATTCTCAGTAGTGTTATTTAGCCATGTGACATGGGAATTGGTGGAGTAAGACAGCTACACTGCTGAAGGTGTGGTCTTGAGAATATTAGGAAGGGTTGAAGTGTCTCTGTTCTTGGAGAAATGGTACTGGTAATCTAAACCAGGGGAAACGCTTAAGATTGTGTGGTTGACCTATGGCAGCCCCTGTTGGGATCTACCTCTGTTGGTTTCCTTAGGGTTTTTCTGGCTCAGGCGGGAGGGAGGGCTGTCATTTTTTAAATGCTTTGCCACTATATGTGCCTGACTGTATACTTGTTTAAGTATCCATTATAAGTAACTGTCCATTTATTGCAGTACTTTTTGACAGCTTCTGATATTTTTGTATGGAAGTTTTCCTTGGCAGGGACTTGGTCAGAAATGAACTTCTAGTTTAACTAGAATGCCTGACTCCTTTGTGTTGTCATATCTGTGACATGTAAATGTACACATGAACTTAGTGTGTATTATTAAAACAATACTGAAATGTGTACTTAATTCTTCAAGCGCATGCAAAGAAATAGGTATAATGCAAAAAACTAAGCTTACAGCTGCTTATGTTGTTAATACGCGTTTATTCTATTTTTTGGTTCCCAGTTGCAGGAACATTCTTCTTCCTGCTCCTCCTTCCCCCACCAATACCATTCCCTGCTGAGCATGGTTTTCTTAAACAGTCGTCTTTTTGTTTCTTCATTTGATGTACTGTTAAGTCAGACTGCTCTACATGAAAGCCTATTCAAAATCTAGGCTCAATGTTTTATCCTTGAGTACTATTGTCTAACTGAAAAGACATTTGTACACTTGCAGATATAATCGTGTTTAGTACAGTGCACAAATTTAAAGAGCATTTTATTATAAGAGTAGCTAACATACAAATTTGCAAACTACCTCATCTGAATCCCTGCAGTGCTGTTTGTAGTGCCACGTAGTTTTGTGTGCCTTTTGAGAAGTTTTTGCACTACATTAATCTTTTCTTTGAGGTTTCTGTACTGTAATTCCTCTAAGAGGTGAAAAGTGACTTTAAAAAATATTTGTTAATCATTCCAAGAAGTCAAGAAATTCTCAGGTTAAACAGTGTCTTGTTTGATGACCATTTTTAGGCTAGCATAATTGTTTTGAGTGGAATATACATGCCTATGTGTGTACAGTTCTAGGTCAGTTCCTAAAGTTCTTAGTTAAGAATATAACTGAAAATTGCTTGTTTGCCTATTTTGTAGGGCTCTAGCCGACATGAACAATGATGGGAGGATGGATCAGCTGGAGTTTTCCATAGCTATGAAACTTATCAAACTAAAACTGCAAGGTTATCAACTCCCATCTGCACTGCCTCCTGTCATGAAGCAACCACCTATTGCTTTGCCAAGTGCACCAGGGTTTGGTGAGCTCTTTATTCTCCTCCTTGTTAGCTTGCGTTGTAGCAACCGAAGTTTAATTTGATTTTCATTTTGCTGCCTCTAGAAGAATTTGTCAAAAACAAATGCAACCACATGCATGCACATGCTCCAAAAGAGAATTCTCGATAAGCTTTGCTTTTAGCATCCAACCATAGTGAATAACTTAAGCTGTCATCCTGTTTGCTGCAGGTCCTATACTGTTCACCATATGTTCCAACCTACAAAGTGTCTATGGGGGGAAAAAATGGTCCATGTAGAAGGGCTAGTGCATTCTAAAGTGATGAAGAGTTTATTTAAACTCTTCTATTGCTGTTTCTATCTACTCCCTACTAAGGGAGCTCCAGTTTTGGCAATGGTTTTTCTGATTTTTTTAGAAAGCAAGAAACTAACGCACCCCTCCGCTTTTATTTTATGAACAGAGTTATGCTAGTGTTAGCTAGAACAAATACCACTTCAGTTCTCATAGTTGGCTTACTGTCAAGGTCACCATATTTCCAAGGAAAGGAGCAGGTAAAATTGGAAAGAGGCGGCTGAAAATAACTAAATGAAGCCTCATGTTTGGCATCTTGATGTTCTGCTGCACTCTGTAGCGAGAGGTTCTCTACCTTCCTGTTCTAGAAGTTGCAGTGACTCAAGTTGGTTAGTGCCTGAGAATCACCAGTGTTAGTAAGAAAAGGGAACAGTACATTCTATAAAACTAATGCAACCCTGTTTGATGAGTTATCTCTTCTTCAGATTTTACAAGCAGAGATTTTATTTATGCCTGGAAGGAATTAGTGAAATTGAACAGAACAAATACTGGATTTAAGTGAGAAAAGGCATAATAAAGTCAACCTCCCCTCCCCACCCCAAGAAATCCAGCAAAATCCAGGATTTTCTTTTTTATCATCCACTGTAAACTTGATCTTGGCTGCTTGCGCACAGCCTCATTCTTCCCATCGGTATGGCTGGACCTCCTTAAGTTCCTGTTATCCATGCAACTGTGCTTACACCTAAAATACTTCATGACTCTGCTTTACCCTATTAGCTTTGCACTGTTTCATTCTGACAATAGGCTGCAGGCAGTTTTCCTGAAGCTTGTTCTTTTCAGCTATGGCTAAATGTGGACTTTGGGCTCATTACTCACTGGAAGTTGACAGTGCTGCTCTTCATTTAGTTCAAGGCAAACAATTCTTTTCTTCAGCAAATGCTAATGGATTTTTTTTGGTCAGTGTTGCATCCAGTGTGATCTTATATACATACATTATAAAATGATATGTTGTTCCCTCTGCATTGTCTTATGTTCCCCTCCCATGCTAATGGTGCAGCAGACTGTGAGAGTTCATTAAAGGAGTTTGTGGAAGTTTCCATTTCAGTTTGCTGTTTAATTCCACATTTACTGATGGATTCCAGGCCACAGTTGAACAAACTGGGCCATCATACTAGGAGTCTCTAAGGTAGAAAAAATGTCTCCTTTTCTTGCTCATAGGTATTGGGGGCATTGCCAGCATGCCATCTCTTTCAGCTGTTGCCCCAGTGCCAATGGCATCCATTCCAGTAGTAGGAATGTCTCCACCATTAGTATCTTCTGTTCCTGCAGCAGCAGTGCCCCCCCTGGCTAACGGAGCTCCTGCTGTTATACAGCCTCTGTCTGCTTTCGCTCATCCTGGTATGCTACATACTGAGACTGTTTACTTTCTTGCTATTAACAAATTGTTTTGCCATTTTCTTTGAATCCAGAGAACAGTAGACATGGAACTAGCCATTTTAGCTTACTCTAGAGAATGACTTTATGTAAGGACTATATTTTGGATTACCTAATGTAATTTATTGGCCGACTTTTTTATAAGTTAAAAAATTAAACATGGGCATGTCCCCCTGTAACTGTCAATCTTCTTGAACAAAATACTAACCCTGTTATAAGAGTGAATCTAGCTGGCCTGTAAAGTGAAGCCTAGAAAATGGTCTTCTCCCACCTATTTGTAACTATTGAAGTACTGCTATTTGTTCGGATAACTGTAAAATATTAGAATACATATGAATTTTAACATTAATCACAATGCAATTTATGACATCAACAATATTTACATAAAACTGCGAATGTAGAAAGGCACAAGAGAAATGCCCATATGTTTTGAGCTATTTTGTTAGACACCATTACTTTATCTTAATATTTTTAAAAGGGAAGCTATCAAAAGAGCCATAATGCCTTTTTTTTGATGTTGGGAACTAACTGAATGTTATTGAAATTTTACAGTTTAAAATGCTAATGCTGAAAAAATGTGTATTGCCTTGTTTACAGCCACATTGCCAAAGAGTTCTTCCTTCAGTAGATCTGGTCCAGGATCACAGTTAAACACAAAACTACAAAAGGCACAATCATTTGATGTGGCTAGGTAAGTTGATACGGAATGAGCATATGTGTGCATCTAATTCCCCAGAGTTAACAAAAGTGCCTTTCATTAATAAGGGTGTTCTTTGAAATGTTGTTTACTTGCAGAAGTCAATTTCTACTGAGATTCAACTTCAAGATTTCATAGGGTGCTGTGATTTAACATGTAATGCTTCATGATTAACAAATCACTGAAATACAGTAATTAACTGACGCAGTGTGTGTCGATGCTATTGAAAACACTGTAAAACTCAAATTTTTAGAAAAGCGTATGCTTCTATAAACATAACGTGGTTTGCTGTGTATTGTATGGGCACTCCGTCACACAGTGTGGAGACACAAGAAGTAGTATTCTTAAGAATTAGCAACTCCAAGCTTATTTTTAAAAGTAATATATTTAATAGTCCTCATATTTCAAATGCAGTCCACATAACTGTTTCCTTTATGTTCTGGAAGTTCTACATTAAAAATTTCTTAAAAGGCTTTTAGTTTTACGAGGCCTAGGGAAAAGTACAGTCAGGTAAAATATGTTTTCTGTGGTCTGAGGAAAAGTATCTAAGAAAATAAAACTTTCTTGTAGGAGGTAGGGTAGTAATTTTTGCAAATCGTTCATTAATGAAAATGTTCCTACAGGTCTGTTGTAGGGATTTGTTTACCAAGAAAGAAAAGGATTGAGAAGTTAGTTAGTTATCTATTTTAATTTATATTCTGCAGATTTTTCTTGTGCCTTGGTATTAGATAGTGGCACTACTGATTATTGGCATTGAGGATTAAAAGTCTTTCAAAAGAAGCAATTTTACTTCTGTTTGAAATCTAGTGTTGTTAGGAACATAGCAGTGCTGCTCTGAGGTAATTCCCACAGATACAAGAAATTTTCCAGCTATCTGCAGTAGCACTCAATATTTATAATGAGTGATGTTCAAGAAGCTTCAGCTGAAACAGCTTCCAGATATTCCGTAAGAAGGCTGTCATGGTTTGGGGGTTAACTATATCTGAATCTTGCTGATCTCTTTTATTGCCCACAGCGGCCTGAACCCCAGATGAGATGACTTCTTTTTTGGGGTGAAATTGCATGGTTCTCTGACTAGGTTTGGGCCTTGGTTGGAGCTTCCTTAGCTCAGTCCTAATTTCTTCAGTAACTTTGATTTATCTACCAGCGCTGAAGGAGGTATTCTTTGACAGACTGCTGATAATGCAATGATCTGGCATGCGTCTTCAAGTATTATTTTGGAGAAAACAGATAGCAAGGCAATTGGTTTGCAGAGTTTATGGAACAGAAGGAAGAAGAGCTAAGTCTATTATACTTGAATTAAAACAAAGTTGAAGTCATGCTTTTTTCTAAGCTTAGATTTTCTTTGAATTTGAAGGAGGAGGAACTTCAAAATTCCAGTTCTGGTTCTTTTGTCACTCTGTCTCCTGAGTCATCAGTAATGAACTCTTGGCATGCATGATGTTTGGCATACATGAGTCAACTCCGTTGTCTTCCAGCATTTTTGCTTCACAGCTACCATTCAAGTATCCATGAAGAAGAGTTTCACTGCTTGCATACAATAACCTTATCTCACAGGTCAAGCCACATATGTACATAACATAAAAAGTAGTCTGTGTGGAAATTCTACATCTAGCAAAACTGGTGAGGAAGGAATTCTTAAATAAAAGTTTCCCATTTTCATTATTCAAGATGAATATTTTTACTTTGTTCTCATGAAAAAACATCTTAAAACACAGTACTTTGAAAGGAGTAGAAATAGAGGTGTTAGCTGTTTTAGCTGTTGTAACATGAAAACAAGATATAAAGGTCAGTTAGGTTATTCATGTAATCCTTTCAGCTCAGCATGCTGTCTGCCTAGTGAACCAAAGAAAAGGGATTTGGTTGTTTTTCGGCCAGTTTTTACTGTAATTCGGCACCCTATCACAGATCCCTATATAATCTGTCTTCTTTTTGTGTGTGCCACCTTCACAAAGAAAGACAAAGTTTGAATGTGCCTAAAGACAGAAAACCTTAGTCACTGCTTTTCAGTACGAAGAACTTGTCAGCCTTCAAGCATGGGAAAGCATATCTACAAATAGCAGCACTTATGTAGATGAATTAGACATGGGAATATAACATTTCTCTGAAGGGCACTCATCTGACAAACTTTGATGGCTTTTAAGTTTTGAGTTTTTTTCACACATGTTTTCAGCATGCTTTACATTTATTTTCCTTAATCAGCTTATGAATGATTTTGCTAGGCCAACCAGTTAAAGGTAGGATGAGATGAGATATTGCTTCCGCTGACTACAGTGAGGCATTTCCTACCATATGTTTACATAAAAGCTTTTAGTTTCTCTCACCTATTTGGGTTATTTAATTCTCTGCTAGTAAAGAAAAAAGCAAAACTCTTAGGCTTGTCATTTATCTTTACTGAAAACCATCTTTTAAGATACTGAATCATGATAAATGTTTTCAAACAAGAAGTGTAAGGTGCTATGGTTTTAGGAAAAGAAGGGAATAACTTTTAAAAAGAAAAGGACAATTTCAAGCATGAAACTCTGTGCAGCACTTCATCATGTTGTACCTGTAGCTTCATGTGATAAAATGTAAAATTATATATTTTTTTCCTCTCCTCCCTACCCCTTTTGTAATTCTAGTGTGCCTCCTGTGGCGGAATGGGCTGTACCTCAGTCATCAAGACTGAAATACAGGCAGCTGTTCAATAGCCATGATAAAACAATGAGCGGACACTTAACAGGTATTGAATTTTTTTTTTTAATCTCATTTTTAACTGTAAAAGGCTAATTAAAACAGCGTTTAGAAAATAACTGTCATAAGAGACTCTCACCTCTCTCTTTTTTTATTATTGTCTATATTTTTCTGTTAAAATTTTCCAGCTACTTCATAATCTTGTTTAAGAGCGAACAAATAGTCATTCATGAATTGTTGCCGATTTTTTTTAAATAGGAGAGGATTGGGAGAGGGACCTTGCAGCCATCTAAAGGCTATACGACTGGATTACCAAATATAATAGATGTCTGAAATTTCTTGTAACTTGTTAAGTTTTCGTTCTTCCCTAACCCCTTCAGTTTTCTTTCGTACCGTATTCACCCATTTTCTTTGACTTTTATTAACAAACAACCAAACTGAAAGCTATCACAAAGTAGACTACAGGACAGATCTTGCTGAGAGTGAGAGTATTTACGCAGTAAAATATTTCAATTTTCTTTCCAGTTTTGTAGTTTTATGGTTGAATACTGTTGGTCCTAAAAATAGTTGTAGGCAAGAGTCTACATACTCAAGAGACACATCAACCAAGTATATAAAGGACAGGAACAACCCACGAGTTAAAAAAAAACCCACTGACACTTGATTCTGCACAATTTAATCTTCTCCCCTCCGCCGCCCCGTCATTACATTATACGTTCGTGTTTATTATCTCTTTACTGGAACTTAAAATGGGTAGGCTATTGTATCCTGGGCTTCTGACCATAGACAGCTACTGCTTTAAGGGGCTGGATTGTTTCTTTTTTTTTTTTAATTTCGCATAAGACAAGGGCCTGACATATCTCTCACCCTGCTCTTATGGCCACACAGATTTCCTGAACCTACACAGAGAGGAAAAAATTCTGTGGGAAAATTTTCTTCCTCTCTTGATTGACAGCTTGCTATCTATATGATGGAATGTGCTGGGGTGAAAATGTTTCTCTAGTGGAAAATATGCAGTGTTCCAGTAGCAGGCCATCAGTGGGTTTTCCTTTTGGAAGGCTTATGACCCGTTGGTCTGTTTTTTGCTAGTGAAAACGTATTTGCCTTGGGGTGGAACACTCATCATAGTTAGGATCCTTTCCTCACCTTCTCTCCTTTATTTTTGTTGTCCAAGTAAGTTGGCTGTGGGAAACAGATTCCTGGAAAGGATATAATGGGTCGTGTGAAATCTACAGCAATTTATAATGTTCAGCTCACCCACTGATTACAGTGCCTTCCCAGGTTCAAAAAGACAGTAGAATAATATACTGGCTTAGTTTTACTAGTTCTAGGGTCACCTCTTTGCCTTTTTGTTCGTTTTCGTTTTGTTTTTTCCTTTGAGTGAATGTTGTGGAGGAGAGAAGGGTTATTTAATTTCTTTTAGTGTGTTCCTCTTGGGGGGCTTAGGGATAGCAGTATAGATAGCCTGCTCATGCAGGAAACTCATCTCTTCAGTGTTACCTATTCAAAACTAACTCTGCTTGTGGAATAACTATTTGGTAAAACATAAGAAGAAAAAAGTTTCTTATGTTTGTTAACGCTTGTTCTAATTTGCTAGGTCCACAGGCAAGAACTATCCTTATGCAATCAAGTTTACCCCAGGCTCAGTTGGCTACAATATGGTAAAGATAAATGTATTAATTTCTACCAAACTGAAAACTGTACTTACATGTTTATACTGTATACTGTGTTTTTTTCTTCCTTTTCCCTCTCCTTCCACTGATAAATCATTATGCTTTGCTGTTTTTAATGCATAGCTTTATAAAACAAAGCCTGCAGTCTTGTCTATATGTTGATATTACTCTAGCCCACAAAAAAGAGTACCTTTTGTTATCCGCATAGATGGTTTCTATGCTGGGGTTTTCAGACAGACCAAATATTCAGCCTTCTCCCTCTTCTACCTCCCCTGCCATATGTGACACAGCGGTAGTGCAAGTTATACGTGTGTGCAGGTAGCACAAAAGGGAAACTTAATCCATACTTTCTTTGCGGCTCATCTGCCTCCTGTACTGATTATATGTGAATTTCTAAGGGCTTATTTCCAAGGGGCTGGAGTTATGTCCTTTAAATCATTGATTTTAAAAGGAGATTTTGTCTTGGCTTCTCATTTCCTTTCCACATTCTTGTTTGCCGAAGTTTATTGTATTCTTTTATCATGACATGGATTGGCCTCTCCGCTTCGTGCTTTGGAAGCTCATACCTTCTCTGTACTGTATAATATTTCTATTTTACTACTGTGGTAGTATTTGGTTACTGTTGGTTTATGGTTAGCTTTGATGGCTTCTCGAGTGGCCTTCATGCCACTTCCGTATATTTTTAATTTCCAGATTCTCCAATTTATTTCTAATTAACTTCTCTACTTCATAAGTATTTACCTGAAAACGATTGTCAGCTCCCTAACCCGTATGGCTTGTTGTGTGAGGCTGTCAATTGTATTGTAGCTCTTATCCAGTGGTTCAATTGCACGTGTTTTCTTTGCTAAACACTAATGTTTTTCTTAGCTCTTCAAAAGCATTCTCTTCTTCTGTTTCCCAACAAAGCTACTATAAGGAGAAAATAGCAACCCAGTCATCCAGCAGATGATCAGCCAAAAAATACTGTGCTTGCTCCCAGTGCTTGAAGTAGGTTGTGTGGGCAGGGGAATGACGTTAGCCTACTCCAGTTCTAAACATAACTGTTTTAATTTTTGACACTCAAAACTGCCAGCTCTACTGCAGTAAGGAATGGATTTTACAGCTTCTGTTGGCCTGAGTATTGCTCCTTTTCCTGGTTCTTAGTCGTGGCAGCGGGACCCACTGTTCCTGATTTGTTGGTTGGTCTGTATTGGGGGTAGACTCACTAACTCTCTGATAGGCATGTAAGGTAAGGTATAGAGAGGTACAGCGTATCAGCTATTCTGTAGCAGCTGTTTCCGTGATAAAGCTATTGGACCCAGACAGTTAGGGTAGCTGATCAATTGTATGCTTGCATGCTAGCTTTTTGTTCTGGTAGCTTGTCTGTGTGCCCCAACCTGAAGAGTTTGGTTTCACAAGCATGGATCAAATGGGGCTATAACAGTCTTCCAAGTTAAAGGTACAGAGTCCTGTACCTTTGAGACGTCAAAGGAATATCTCAGTTGTTCACAGTAGATTTCCGCAGTATTGTAGAAGGTTTTTGCTTTATGATTTGAGTCAGTAGCGTCTTAGGGAGCAAAAGCTGATGCTTATGCTATTAAATTTGGTGTAGTACTGCCTTAATATGAATAAAGGCATTTCATAAACCTGTCAGGTTTAGGCCATCCAGAGACCTTACTGCATCGTTTTTATACGTGCATAACGCTAAATTGGTTTTGTGCCTTGTTAGGACTAGAACATTAGTGGCTTTGATTTTAATGCAAATGTGTGTTCTGGTATGTGAGATAGGAGCCTCCAGGGAAGCAGGAGGCCAAACCAAAAGTTTCTGCAGAACATCTGAGCTGATCCTTTTTTGAATGATACTGTGTAGTGGATGTTCATGAGGTATGCAAGAAAGTTCCACTGATAAACTTTACTTACACAGTTTATGATACAGGCAGTACATGAAGAACAAGCAAAGTAGAAGCTATGACTGAAATGATATTGTCAAGGATGTACGCTGGCAGATGCACACACAGGAACGTTGGAAATGGAATGAGGCATTTTGTTACTGCTTCTTAAACTTATTTTAAAGAAACAAAGTAGTATGAGAAAATCGGTGAAAAAATCAAATTAATTTGGAACTGAATATGTCAAAACTGTGCTTTCTAACAGTGATTTTTAATCTTTACTTACTTTGCATCTTTCCTTTAAAAAGGAATCTTTCAGATATTGATCAAGATGGAAAACTTACAGCAGAAGAGTTTATTCTGGCTATGCACTTAATTGATGTAGCTATGTCTGGTCAGCCATTGCCACCTGTACTGCCTCCAGAGTATATTCCACCTTCATTTAGGTAAATGGTTATGATTCTGTAATCTCACTCCTAATGTTTTATTTCCTTTGGGAAACTTGTGCCCTGTCCTGTGAGTGTAAAGAACAAAAGATTGAAAAATACCCCTCCTTATCTTTGTATTGCATAGCATAGGTGGCAGAGAATGCTTCCATTTGGGAGATACTTGTTTAGCTTTTGGTTTTCTTAAAAAAAATGGATGTTGGAAATAGCTCTGCCAAAACTGTATTCTTTCAAGGACTTCTTGTGACAATGTTTTATGCTGCCACACCTTTTGAAAACTTACTCAGTCTGGCTATGTGACTTGAAAGGGTTTTACTTCAGACTTATCCTTCTGTACAGCAAATGGGATGCATTAGAATTCAAATTTGTACTGTAGCAAATTCTGATTTTTTTTTTTTGATACGGTTGTATCTGTGAATCATAGTGCTGAGTCATTGCTTCTGTTTCTCCATTTCACTTTTTTTGTGGAGGAACAGGTGGGAACACAGGAACAGCAATGGAGACAAACCTTTGCATACAGTCATAGGTCCATGTTCTTTGAGTATACTCCTAAGGATGACAATTTTTTTGTTTATTCCTTGTAGTGTCTTTTTTTAGCTTAACTAGTGAACTCTTTCTCTCTCTTTGCAACTTTTGCTATTGTCTAAGTCACCATTTTCCAAACTCCAGCCTGGCCATAAATTAAAGGTCTTGGGGACAGGATGAACACGTTCATCAGGGAGCTGCATGGTGGTATGAACTTTGAACTACATTGTTCAGGACATGAGTGTGCTGTTACGACTTTGGAGGGGTCTGTTATCTTAATTGAAATGGCAGAGTAAAATGCTCTGGGGAACACTGAGGGAAATTATTGAACATTGCCTCATTGTATTTAATTTATGATTTCATCATTAAATCATAAGTAAATCTGGCAAGCATAGGTGCTTTTAAGCAGCTTGGAATTGTCCTTCTATTGACAGAAGAGTACGCTCTGGTAGTGGCATATCAGCTGTAAGTTCAGTATCTGTAGACCAAAGGTTACCAGAAGAACCAGCATTAGAAGAAGAACAGCAGCAACTGGAAAAGAAATTGCCAGGTGAGCAAGTGGAAATGGGGGATGTATTGTGTGCTGTTGTCAGAGAGGCGTTATCATCGGGTTATATGCTGTGCAGGAATAATGTTGTATTAAGGAATATTTTCTTTTCAGATAACTTTGTGACTTGTCAGAGGCATAACCAAGACACTGCTTGGTCCAGCTAATTCCCGATTGTTCACGTGATGCTTGTGGCTAATGATAGCTGAGATATGAACAGCCTCCAGGCTACTCTTCTTAGGTACTCTTCACCGAGACAGTTCTTTGCAGCCCTATTATAGGACTTCAACAAAAACTTTTTACCACCCCCCATCTTCTAATTTAAGTAGAGGATAGTTTGGCTTGCTTACAATATAAAAAGATCACAGTATGCATACAAAGACCTATATTATTGCAGTCTCTGTACCAGCATGCTCTTTTTTTATACAAGCTTTGTCAGCTCTACCTTAAAAAAAAAAAAGCGTAAAACCTCACAGATGCTAAATGGCAACCTAGCGAGGAATTTGTTATCAGTGACTCCATTCTCAGTTGTCACAATATGAAAGAATAATAAGACCTAGCAGCAATCTGAGGCAAATCTTTGGTTCTTAGAGCACGTTTCTAGTTCAGTTAGAGGAACAAAATGGGTTTTATTCTGTCTCAGGATACCACACGTTGCTCATCTGCTCAGAAATTTTACTAGCGTGTTTATCTCTCTTTGGCACCAGACAGATGGGGACAGGAATAGCAGGCCTGTGCACTATGCTCACCTGAGTGTTATTTCATTTGCAGTACTTGAAGGCATTGCTAACTTTGGAGTTGAAAAAGTTCTGCTAGTTCTCAAAGTCCAAACTACTTGTGACCAAAACAAAACTGAACATGTGGATTATAGTCAGACCCTACTCTATCTTGCCAGAATTGCGACAAAATTTTGAGATCGTGGTGTACATTTGAAGTGGAATTAAATTTTTCTTAAAATGTTATAGCATATCTCAAAGTTAACACAGTAAAGCTTAACTCCATCAAACCTTTTTTTATTAAAGATTCAATGTTCTAAATAGAATATTTTATTTATATAAATAAATATGATATATTTATTAGTAAGTATCTTAAGCACTACTGTAGTGGATCAAACCAAAGTTCATTTTGCTTAGCATGTAGTTTTCAGTAATGGCTGTTTGCAGATGTTTACTTCATCCTTTAAACTTCTGTTAATCTGCGAGACGGGCACCTCCAAGCCAGAGGCAGTATCCACACTGAAATATGGGTTTAATTACCTGTGGACCTAACCTCCATGAATTTTTCAAATTGTTTAGAACCTGTTTGACCCCATGCCTATCTGTTTTGTATGGAAAGTATTTTTGTTTGTTTTTGAAGCTACTGTAAGGTAACACTTAGGTTGGACCCTGAAGTTGTATTAAGAGGAAAGATAATTAATCATTCCCACTTTACCTTATGAGCACTACTGTTGGTTTTAGAAAGCTAAGTGATACCTCTCCTAACTGATATACTCTTCTGTGTTTTTTTTTTTTCCCAAGTGGCACATGGCTATTTAGAAGCTGGAGTCATAGGGGATTTGTTTTATTTGTTTTGTTTTGAGTCTATTTGCCCCTTTCCCCCCCCAATCTTTCCTGTTAGGAAATTTCCTTACACTTCTGATCATCCACCCTTCTCTGTATGGTGGTCAGTTTTGTTGTACTTCACTTTATTATGAAATAAGGTAACCAGAATCTTGCACAGGGGAAGATAGGGCAACGTGATGGATTTATACAATAGCATAATAATGCTTTTCTGTTTTATTCCAAAATTCTAACGTTGTTTTGCCCCTTTGATCACAGCTTAGATTTGAGCTGATGTTTCAGTAGACTACAGTAATGCTAACCTCCTTCCACAATAATAAACATTTTAAAGCTTGTGACTGTGTGTGTATAGTTTGGATCTCTATTTATTCCCCGTATGCACTACTTTGTAATCATTTGAATTTCCTCTGATGCTTCATTGCCAGGTCACTTAGTCTTGAGATTGTTATAAAGTTCTTCACAGTCAGCTTTTTGTTTTAAAACCTTGAGTATCTGGTATCATCTCTGGACATTGTATTGTTACTTTTCACTCTGTTCCAGACCATTATTGAGTATGTTGAACGGCATAATTGCTACAGAGATCTTTGAAGAAAGCTACTAAGAATCTTTCTAGTGTTATGAAAATTATTAATTTCACCTCTTAATTCCAGTCCAATTTATTCAGGGGGCTGTTGAATCTGTATGTGAGCAGTTCTGATAGGACTCCTGCCTTTGGTTTATATTTTATCAATACCTGCTGCTGGCAGTCCGCTGGCTAATTCCTGGCTGCAGGAGGGAGTGAGATCGCAGGGGCTGCTGACGTGGACCTTGCTAAGGTGCATCTACGTGTTCTGCCCAGTCTTGTCTGACACTGAAATGTTTGGTCACAGGTGAGATCTCACACTCCTGGGTAGGCTGTTGGAGGCATCATGTCTTGTGTTTCTGGAATTTGAGGATTTTGGTATGCCATTTGTAGTGTCAGGAAGGCTCACCACTGCCTTGGCCTAGTTTCTTTAATAGACTTTGAAAACATCCAAGTATTGTTCTATTGACCCGATCCTTATCAACGTTCTTGTTGATAGAAAAGGGGTTGGGGAGAACCCAGTTCTGTTTTAGACTTGAGAGGCAGCTCTTTTCTCTCTGGGTTCTTCGACATTGGATCATATTTGGTCACGTATACTCATTCTTCACAATAATTGGAAAGACTTCTCGGCTACTTTCCCCAGTATGGAAGTAGCATAACTGGCCTGTAGCTTCCAGGATCACTGTTCTGTCTTTTCTTAAAGACTGGTGTTGCATTTGTCAGCTTCTAGTCTTACGGCACTGAGGTTGATTAAAAGATGGATTGCATTGCACAGCTAGTAGTTCATAAATTTTGTATTTGAGCTGTGGATTAGCGTTGTCTGGGTTTGGCAACTTGTTGCTCTGTTTTATTACATTTGATTTTACTTTTGTTCTAAAGTCATTTCTGTTTCCAGTTTGAGAAGAACTAGAATGTATAAACCTTTCACTATATCTAATGTATAGATTTTCCACTATAAAGATCTCTCATGTAGAGAATATTGTCTTCCTTCTTCATTGGTTCTACCAAATCTGGCTGCAGTTTTTCTTTTGAGGCATCTGAAAGTTTTTATTGTTGGCTTTTATGACCTTCTAGCAGCTTTCTCTTAAACATATCAACGTAAGCCAGTAATTACGTATTTTATTTAATTTGCTAGAATTTGTTCTCTTCTATTTTTGTACTTTGGATATGCTTTGTTTTCTTACCTCTAATAGCTACCTTCATTTTGCTGAGTAACCACCCTAGCTTGTTGGGCAGTCCTCTTAGAGTTTGGTGTTGCTTCTTGGTGGTACGTGTTTTCTCTGAGCCTTTGGTATACTATCTTCAGCAATGTCAATGCTGCTTGTCAGCATTTTGCCCTTCTAGGTATCCATTTTAACTGACTTGCTTTATTTGCACGCATCTTTCTTTTTCTTTCTCTCCCCCCCCCCGGCCTACTTTCTTAAATCAGTGGGTATTATAATCATATTCTCTATCAGTCTATATCAGAATATTCTTTGAAGCCAGTGCCTAATTTGAGTGAAACCTAACAGAGTCAAAGATTTCAAAGAGATTAAATTTCTTCAAGTTTCATGAAATTTGGTGGTTGGAAATAGGAAAGAGGCCCAAATTTAAGAAAAGGCAAGGAGAATTCAGCTGATTCAGCAGATGTTGGGTCAACATGTCAAATAACTGATGTACGCACTCTTCGAAGAAATCGTGTGCTCTCTCTTTGATAGTTAGTATGTCTCTTTGAGATAACGTATCTCGTTGATCTGCATGCCAAAAATACAAATATTGGGCATGAGAGGAGAGAAATATGGAATACGGGTGGTGGAAATGAGGCACAGAGGGTATAAAAAGAGAAAGAAGATGATGCAGAAGGAGTGACTTCAAGAAACTGGAGGAACTATAAGATAGGGGCCTGGGAACACGGATCAGGGGAAGGAGAGTCTGTGACGTTGCAGAGGAATGTCAGGGACCCAGTGTTGGGGGAAGAGCTGACAGAGGGTGCGAACCTGCGGGAATCCAGTGTTCAGGGGTTCTGCTGCGCCAGAACTTAAGTTAACCATTCCTTTTCTTGGCAGTAGTGAGTATTCTTATGAGAATATAAAGTTTAGGTATGTTCTGATCATGTGCATTTGCTTTTTGATAATATCTTCAGCTGAATTCTGTGCATTACTTGTGGTATCTAAAATTGAGGTGTTTGTTCTTGTACTCTTGTTATCACCTAATGCGTGGTGGAACGTACCTGTCCCCTGCCCCCCCACAGGATTTGATTGTCTAAATTATACCTGCCTTGCTGGGCTTTGTGGAGGAAATGTAGGAGCCTGAGGAACTGGACCTGAAATTCCTACCTTAGTTTCCTAAGGATATGGGTTGAATGGGAGCTACAGTGCAAATGCTAATGATAAAACCTAGAACTACCCATAGAACTACATTATTAGTAGTTGAGAACAGCTTGTAATACTGTTGGAAGATTGTTTCACTTTGCAGACTGTCTTGATGAGCGTTCATGGATCGTTAAGTCAGTGGCAAAGTTTAATTCTCTTTTGCCATGTATTTTCACACATTAAAGTCACATTTGAAGATAAAAAACGGGAAAACTTTGAACGTGGCAATCTAGAACTTGAAAAACGAAGGCAGGCTCTCCTGGAACAGCAACGCAAAGAACAAGAGCGTCTAGCACAGCTGGAACGGGCAGAGCAGGAAAGGAAAGAACGTGAGCGACAGGAGCAAGAACGTAAAAGACAACTGGAGCTAGAGAAACAATTGGAAAAGCAACGAGAGTTGGAACGGCAGAGAGAAGAGGAAAGGAGGAAAGAAATAGAAAGACGAGAGGTAACCATATATAAGGAAAGTAGTTATGTTATGAGAAGCAGCTATATTTGATTAGAACAAAATAGAAAGTATACATTAAATACTTTGCCATCTTTATTTTTAGTAAGCAAGTATTTAAAGAATGAACTTAAATTTCTGGGTTTTTGAAGGTAAAGAAAGAATTGTCCATCTCTTCCTGCACTTGTCATGCAAAATGAATGAATTGGACATTCAGTAAAGAGTGCTCCAAGCCTCCAGCTTCTTTAAAAAGAATTAATAATTCTTTTTTTCAATGTAAAGAATGAATGATGAAAAACTTCTGGGAATTGCTGACATTATGCGTTTCCTGTGATCAATTAGTTTGTTAAAGAAAACAGGTATCGGTCAACTTAACAAAAGCTATTATGTTCTCACATTGCCGATTAATGATGCATTCAGTGCAGTAGCATTTGACTTGTTCTTTGCAAAGCTGCAGAATGCCTAATGTTGGAGGAAGATTTGATGCTATCCTGGACAGTTCTTGAAGTCTTAATGTGAAAATCTATTAGATAAGAAAATTGAATTTTGGTAAACTTACTAAAATGGAAGAATGTTATGATTGGTCACATATCAGCTAGAGAGTGAAGCCTCATTTCACCAGCACTTTCAAGTAAGGATTTGAACAATTGGATAATTCCTCTGCTTAAATATAGGTACATACTCAGACCACAGTTTAGCAGTGTATGTTTATTAATATTTGAACTGCACATTGGAATATTAGTGATTAGAATAATTTCTCAAAATAGATCTTTCATACATTTTTTTCTTTATTTCTTTCTTTTGGTTAAATACTAAAGGCTGCAAAAAGGGAACTGGAAAGGCAAAGACAACTTGAATGGGAACGTAATCGTCGGCAAGAACTACTAAATCAAAGAAACAAAGAGCAAGAGGACATAGTTGTTCTGAAGGCAAAGAAGAAGACCTTAGAATTTGAGCTAGAGGCTCTAGTAAGTGATTACATTGCAGATAAAACACATGAGCACAGTAATGAGTGTGATATAATCATGTTTACTTTCTATAATTTTATAAGTATAGAATAAAAGTACTTTTTAGTTTTCAGAAATACACATGATCCTGATTTGCATGGCAAATCATTTTGGTAAAAAAAAAAAAAAAGAGATTTTTTTTTTTTCCCCTGAAGAATGATAAAAAAAATCAGTTGGAGGGAAAGCTTCAAGATATCAGGTGTCGGCTGTCTACCCAAAGACAAGAAATTGAGAGTACAAACAAATCTAGAGAACTGAGAATTGCAGAAATTACCCATTTGCAACAGCAGCTACAGGTGAGAAAATGTTTTTTCTAATTTTGATTTTAGGTTTATGTTTTGTCCTCCCCATCTTCGTCAATATCTTAAGCAAACTTGATACAATTATTGTAATTGATAATTTGTCTTTTTTTTTTTTTAAGTTTCTTTACTGGTTCTTCAGACACATACAGGAGTTGCTTCCTGCACTTGAAGATATAACTGCAATTATCACTTCATGCTTGTAGAATCTTCTTGTGGGGAGTGGTGAATAACTTGTTTATCTGAAGAAGACAGAGAATTTTGGGGGGATGAAGAGAACAAAACTTTGTGACGTGTATTTTTATTGCAGTGATTGCTGTCTGTGTGTTTAAAGAAAGAGATGACTTCAGTAAGGTGATTTACTGATAATGCCCTTTTTTGAAATTAGAAAATAATAAACTTTCAAAATTGAAGTTTTTGGTTAAACCATGGAGTAGTTCCTGGTGTAATCATGGCAGTCACCTTTTCTTCTATTTATCTAAAGTTCTCTGCCAAATTAAAGATAGATAAGACTAATTTGATGTCTGCTTTGAATCAAAGAGTATTCTTTACACTTGGTAAAGGTTTCTAGTTAACGTTATAAGATTTGATTTAGGGATGTTATTTTTATTACGTATTTTATATTGCCTGAAATAAATTTCTGGCTAGTAATGGAGGCACTCTCAGTGCCTCTTTACTATTTCAAAGAGGTTCTGACATTTCTGTTATGAGGGCTTAAGGAAAACCTATCTTAAAACCTAAAGCTACTATTCCATTTCAGACTTCTAAGCCTAATTGATACAGTACATTTATTTGAACGAGACCAGCACTTGAAAGTTCAGGTTTTTTGTTTTATGCATGAGCATTTTTGGGACTGTCTTCTGGTTTCCTTGTTTCTTAAAACACCTTATACTTCTATTGAAGTTTTGTGTGTACCATTACACCTTTCACAAGAAGGTACGTGCTATTCTAACCCTTGCATTTTTCAAGAAATTGAATCAAATTCACCTTTTTACTTTTGTGTGTCATTTCTTTTAACTGTTGGCAATTTTTTTTTTCAATTGGCAACTGTAGTGAGAAAAGGAAGGTAAAGTCTCTCTTTTGCTGTTGTCACAATATAACAAATTAAGAGGAAACAATGATATGTCATGGCAAAAAGCGTTAAGTCGTTTACATAATAGTAAAGGCCAATATGCTACAGTTGGGATTGGTTCCTATTGTAACAGACATCGTACTAATCTGTACGAAGGTACGGCTGTTGTTATAAAGAACTTTGAGATTTCACAGCTGTGATAAATAGGAACCGTAATAAATAGAAGGTGCAAGGGAGGAAAAAGATGTGAAACTAGCACTGTTGGGAAACAAGTAGTGAGAGGGATAATCCTTCTGCCACTAGAGGTGTTTAAGTAGCTTATTAAAGAATACTAGATAAACAAGCGGCAGTGTCAGTGTTCTCTGCAGACTCTCTCTTTAGCGTGTTCTGTTTTCTTTAATCATCTGCTTGGCCAACTGTAGATGTGCTTTCCTTACCTATTGCTTTTATGCATTGGTTTTAACTGTATCACCATGAAGGGAAAAAGTGAAGCAGAGCAGAGGAATTCTTCAGCTCTCTAACATTTCGCTTGTGCTACTCATTGCCAAATCACAATGGTAGAAAAGCAGATTGCCTTTTTGTTTGTTGCTTAGCATTTCAACGTACAATTGCTTTTTGTCTATGAAGAAGACTAATTAGTTTACTGCACCGAAACGTTGCTGAAAGATCCAGGTCAAGTAGAATGAATTTTGCAGTTGTCTAAATTTTACACTTGTTTGGGAATCATTTACTGTATTTGTAATGGTTTTTAATTGTCTGTGGCCATTGTAACTGGTACTAGACAGTATTTATCCAGCAGCTTAGTTAATACGCTTTTGACTATTTACTTTCTAAATTGCTTTATTCACAATGACTTCACCCCAGTAATGAAACTCACATTTGCCTTTCATAGTGGTTGGCTGTTTGCTGGATTTTCGGTTGGTGGTGGGGGGTGGGGAAACATTTTTCATGTGGAAAGTAGTAGCTGTGGCTTTGTGGTATCGTCTTCTCTCAGGTGATCATTGATCTCCACCAGTAATATTTCAGATGCAACATGTTGCTTGAAGGGTTTATCACAATGGCATCATGAGCCCAGAAGTGTCAGTACTCAGTAGAAAAGAGCAAATTTTATATAAAGAGAACCTAAAAGAGCAGTTGAGTCATTATGATGACAATGAATGTGTCTTTTCCCCCCCTAAATGGTCAATTTTTCAAATATCCTTAAATTTTACTATTTAATTTGTAGAGGAAAAAAATAAAGGTGTATGTAACTGTTTTAAAAGAGGATTTTTCATGCTCTAAACTCTCCATTTAGTTAAAAAAAATATTGATAATTCTTTGTAGGGTATTATCTCGTTACCTGGAAACACTTTAGTTTAATATAGCTGACACTTTTTATGGAAAGATGAGTTAATTAAAACAAGTAATTATTCTTCAATCTAGTAATTAGTTTCAAGATGGAGTTTGATTAAAATTGTGGAAGAAATTGCGTAACAGGAGAATCCTGGGTGATGAAGATTTGTGCTAGTTATATGAGTCAGCGGTATCTGGTTGAATGATATTGCCAGTGGTGGTTGGAAGGACGCAAGCTTCCTGTTTGTTAAGTGTATGTGATTGACTCATGTTTATACTGTATTCAGCTGCTTTCCTGCAAGGATTATTTGCCTCCCTTGATACGTGGTTTGGCTTCCCCCTGAAGCCCTCTGGAGATGGGTTATGTGGCAGAGAGTTTGCAGTGTATCTAGTAGTGTCTCAGTTCTGAGATGCCTCTTGCTCAGGGTTTAGGGTCAGAGCAGTTTTTCCCCATTAGATTGAAAGGAACTGGGTTTTGGTTGCTTTGTTTGCGTTCTACTATTGTATGGGGCATAATTTAATTTTGGTCATTGCATGAAAATACAGTGTTAGTGATGCCATTAGTTTCTTCTGTTCCAGTGTCTGGTAGTTCTGTCTGTCTGTGTTTTCAGTTGAACTGAAGGGGATGGAAAGCAGAACTAGTGTGTTGCAGACCATTTTGGACTAGATGGCTATTGTGTGGCTGTCTGTGATTGCAGGGAACAGAACTTCGCCCTCGTGTTCCCTTGGCATCTTCTGTTCTTAGTCTTAGTTCTCCAAACTATCCTGTGTGTTAAAATGTAACAGTTTGAAGCTTAGAAGTGTTCTGCCTTTTAAAAATAAATAGTCTAGGATTACACTCCACCCTGAAATACTGCCTTTTATTAGTTTTTGTGCTTCCAGAATGGTAATTTTTGTGTAAATCTTATCTCAGTTAAGAGAATCATTCTGCTATTTGTCTTATCTAAGTGCTTCTCAACTTGGGATGATACAGTTTTGATACCTTGTGTCTTCAAAGCTGGTTTTTTTTCTCTTGAGCTTTATCTATCAATATATTTAGGCAACTAGGTGCTGCCTTTCTTGGGTCATACTACTTGAAAACTTAATTTCCGTGATGCCTATGTGCTATACTAATTTAATAATACTATTCAAAATTGTTTCCCAAACTTTGACGTGGGACGTGCAGGTATTTGGGCAGGGGAGGTGGTAGAACGAGCAGGTGTTGAACATAAAGAACAGTGTTTTGCATATATTTTAACAGCATGCTAATTGTGGTTGTTGTGAAGGAGGCAGGCCCTTTGGCAGATGGTTTGGAAAATGCTGCCTTATATATTGCTGTTTCTGATTTGGTTCTAGGTAGGGACTGATAGTCCCATGACAGGAATTTGTGGCCTTTGCGATATCCTTGAAGGGCTGAAAAAGATCTGCTCGTGTTATAGGCAGTGCAGTTGAACGATGAGCAGCATATGTAACTCCTGGTAGTCAAATGCATGGTTTATCTTAATTTTGCTACTTTACGTATTCACCATCCTTGACTTTCCTGTGCTACTTAAGTATGCCTTTTGGAATGAAAGAGATTCCAGTAGTCTGTGATCATTGCATAATCTTAAAACCTGGGGCTTACACTGTGGTGGTCCAGTCAAAACCAGCTGTGAGTCAGGTGAGACAACTATGAAGTCATTTCAGTGCAGTCAGCTTCGTGTTCTTGTAACAAAAAATAAAAACCTTTCATGGGACTCACTCTAGGATTAACCAATTAGATGACATTTCTTCTTAGAATATCATTCTAAGAAGAATGTTCTATTATGTCATTCCCAGTCCTTCGTGACAAATGGAAAATGCCAGATTGCCGGTTCCTGAAAAGGCTTCAAGTCAAAACAGCTGATGAAATAAATAACTTAGTTTGTCTGAAAAGATGAGAGGTTGACACTCTGACAGCTTTTATAAACTAAGCTGTTTCATATCAGGCTTCTTTAATTTGTTCTGGCAACCTGAAATTGGAGGTCAAGGCTTTTGAAAGGTGTATGAAGTAGAACTTTGTCCTCCAGAAACAGCAAGGATTATATGTGATCCAGCAAAGGAGGACTTCCTCATCTGCAAGGTCTCCTGAAACTTACTGGTGCGCAGTCTTATGAATGCGTGTTGAAACTGAGAGAAACCCCGATTTCTTTCAAGAGTAGTAAATAGAGATCTGGAACACAAGTATTGTCATCTAATAGGATTTGTGTTACATAGCTTTTGGCCATAAGGTATTTCTTTAAAGTGAGAACCTTTATTTTCTTTGTCTTTTTTTTTTAATAGACTGAAAATATTTGTCATTCTATTCCTGATCAAAGTTAATATTTACTTATTAAAATGGGAAGTAAAGTGTTTGTAAGTGCTTGCTTCACGTTTCCGGAAATCTATCCTTCTCTTTTTTGCTCTAGATTTCAACTAATTCTCAAACAATGTGCCTATTCAAAGGGAATCAGTTCTAAAGTAATAAGCTTGAATTTGGTATGCTCACTTTTTTTGTATATAAAAAAAAAAAACAGCAGCAGCAGGTAAGACAAATTGGCAGACAACTATTCTGAGTGATTGTACCACACAGATGGTGCTGAGATAATAACGCATGATTTAGTGGGAAAAATAGACTCATTGCAAAAAAATAAAAATAAATAAATAAAAGGGGAAAAAAAGGAGAGAGATACATCGTACAGCTAAGGTCATCAGTCACCATTTTGCTTGTTTCTCTTCTTATTTTCCCCTTCCTTGTTATTTTCTGTGCAGGAATCTCAGCAGATGCTTGGAAGGTTGATTCCAGAAAAGCAATTACTCAATGACCAACTAAAGCAAGTTCAACAGAACAGTTTGCATAGTAAGTATATTTTTATATATGTCCAAGTCAGTTTGTGTAGCATATGATCTTACATTGCACATCATACCCTGTCATACATCTTGCTTGTTTTTTATCTTGCAAGATGCATGTTGAAAAATGGTGCTTTCTATGACCTGACATTCTTCATGTAAGACAATATTTATTTGACAATATGTTTAAAAACAGGAGATTCTCTTCTTACTGTCAAACGAGCCTTAGAAGCCAAGGAACTAGCCCGTCAACAGCTTCGAGACCAGCTAGATGAAGTAGAAAAAGAAACCAGATCTAAACTTCAGGAAATTGATATTTTCAATAATCAACTAAAGGTATCTGTAAACTTTTTAACCTTCTCTTCTAAATGTTCAATTAATCTCTTTCTACCTTGATCATGGGAAAATATATTGAACGAAAATGATTGATTCAGAATGTTAGTGTTGGGAACATTCTGAAATCTATCATTTCTTTTTTTAAAGAAAAGACTACTGAGTATCTAAACTAAGAGTTTGAATCAACTTAATCTAGAGAATCTACTTAAGAATAAATTTGAGCTCTGATTCCAGATCTGTGATTGCCAGTTTCTGCCCTTTTGCATCAAAGTAGGGCAAGACTATAAGAGATCAGGAAATATGCTGGAATCAGTGCTTCAAATGCAAATATTTAAGTGACTTAATTTTCTACTTATATGCAGAATTTTTATCTGCTCTTTATAAACTCCTACTTGTTCCTGAATGTGGTTGTGTCTTGTTTGTGGTTTCATGCTTTATTGATCAGTCTGCTGTTGAAACTGTGTGAATTGTTTATTTTTGCATAATAAAACTACAGAAATTGCAAAAGTCAGTAGAGGAAGAGCTTTCTTCAGAGAGGCGTTACAAATCAGTCTTCAGTTCCAAATTTTTAATAGCAGTCATATTTTCTTTTTTCCTAAAGAAAGTAGTACTTTAATGTTGAAGTACTCTGTCTGCATAGTTAACCAATGGTTTCTCCTGAAATCCACCGAGAAAAATGTTAAATTTTCTGCAGGATGTAATAATTTTTGGTACAAGTATTTAGAAGGAAAAGAACAGCAATCGATGCATTAATATTGCTGTAGCTGTTTCAAAAGCAGATCAACTATGGTTAGATTATATGCTATAGGGTGAAAGGCGTTTTTTGAGTTAAGTAACAATTAATATTGAAATTACTAATGAATATAGGAAAAACGGTCTCCATGCCAGTTCAGAGATGACTCTCGTGATCTTAGGCAGGGAGGTAGAAAGGGGAGAGTCGTAAGAGACACAAACACAAGCAAAATATTCACTTTTTTTGTTGTTGAAAGAAAACAGAACGGCTTACCTCAGTTACATTTCCTTTATATATAATCTCTGGACACATCTTAAAATGCTCTGCTTTTGGGGTGACTTTTTTTTTTAATGAATCCTTTGGAAGCACTTTGCAGATAAATATAACTTGAGGCGCATTCATTCTAAAATTAGTGTCAGCACTTGATTTGATCATGAATGACCTAAACAGTTTATAAATGGGCAGGGGGTGAATAATTTTAGTCCTGTGACACTAAAGAAAAGAATTTAAGTTCAGTTATTTAGATACTGAACAGCTCAACTTAACAAATAACAAGCTAGTGATAATTAAAAATAGAACATTCAGATTAAAGAAAGACATTGATTTATCAAAATGTCTTCTATCCATCCAAGAATACATTGTCTAGTTGTAAACTGTTTTTCAGTTTAATCAGAATATTGATTCCTATGTTCAAATTTTAGTATTTAGAATTACCAATTAAAATGAGGAAAATTAGGTATGTGGACGTGTTTTTGGAGAATGCTTCAGCAAACTTCCTCCCACCCAAGATGCTGAGCTCTTGGTTTCATAATGTGTAACAAAAGCAGTGCTTAATAGGAAGACTGCTTTGTGATACTCTATGTTAGTATTTTTGCCTTGCTGCAGTTTTCTTGTTTGCTGGAAGAAATGATTTTAAGAGAAGGAAAAACAAGTTAGTGGGACAGTTGTACTATTGAAACTGAGAGGTGGGAACTTAATTCAGAGTGAGTTGTACCTTCTTTTTGCAACTTCACTAGACTTGCGGGATGTATTTGGTGAGGAGCCTGTATTTTTTTTATTACTAGATGTAAATACCAGCTTACTGCCCTTTCCTGGACTCAGCATACTAATGGAATTGTTCAGCGCTCCCACTAGGAGAGCAACCACTTAAATGTTGAGTATGCAACAGTAATTTAACGACCTTCGTTCTTGTGACGGGAGCTTTCAGAACACCGTGAATGTAAGACTTCATGCACAAAGCAAGTGGAAGTTTTCTGGAGGCTCTCTTAGTCTTTTTAAGGTTTTGTGTGAAGTGGAAATTATCTTCTTGAGCCAAGTCAGAACACTCCTGTTTCTTGTACAGTAATATTGCTCAAATCAAAATAGTTTGAACTTGAATAATTGTCAGAATCTTTTAATTTAAACAGTCAAAAGTCTGTGACAGCTTTTTGGTAACTGCCAGGGAAAGATGTCTGTGACGTTTGAATTTGATAGACAAGTGCTTATATATTATTTCTAAATAAATAGTTTCCCTAGTTAACAGAGGAACTTTTTGTTTGTTTATTAATAACTTGGTTCATAAATAGAGCGGGTGTTTTTTATGCTACAATACCTTCCAATTTGTATAATTATCGATCAACTATATAATGTTCACATTTAAATAGAAAACTTTTTCAAGTAAATGTATCAAAACTTCTACCATGTCCGAGTTCTGAATATAATAAAGGCTTGTTATCTTTTAAACTAATGGAAAATATGTAAAGATGGGAAATTTCGGAAGGCTTGAATATTTATTTTAAAAAAACCTATTTTTATTCTTTCCATATTCTTTCCATATTTTCCATTCTTTCCATTTTTAATCAAGACACTTCCTAAATTGTGTTGTAGGTTTAAAGTTGATCGGCTTTTTCTATGATTTAATCAAGACACTTCCTAAATTGTGTTGTAGGTTTAAAGTTGATCGGCTTTTTCTATGATGATCTGCTCTTCCTTTGTGCTCCAGGATACTAACAGAGATGCATAGGACAGCAGCACATTAAATTATGACATTTTATTACCTATATTGAAGTTTATTCCTTTTCCTTTGGACTATGAACGTCCATTGCCTTTAATTTGGCAAAACTAGATTTCTAATTCATTCTCTTGAAACAGGCTACATTTGATCTGATAGCAGATTCAAAACTATGCTGAGATAATGCTCAGTACAGGATAAAATGAACAATTTCACTAGTATCTGGTGTTCCTTTTTGTTAATGAGACCACTGAGGTCAAGGTTTACGAGAGGTTCTAATGTATTTTAGCTCACAGGTCAGCTTTTTAACACTATCATGTACAATGGATTGCACTGCATTTGCCTGCATATTATAGTGTCTTACGCTGTGCAGTAAGTGAACCCTCATATTTGGTGTTGAATTAGCTCATCTTTGCATTTTGTCTTAGTAGCATGTTCGAGTGACCAGAAAGATAAATGAAACTTTGTTCTTACCCTGGGTTTTTTTTCATCCCTAACAAATAACAGATTTAAGTTCTTCTGATTATTCCTTTGGAGCTTGAGTGCTTCAGTTACTTACTTTTTTTCCAGTCAGTATTTTTTTTCCAGTCAAGAGTTTAAAATATTTAAAGAATTGGTTTATTTTCAAAAACTCTGGAGTATAAAACATTATCAGTATTTCAGAGGAAGTAGATCTTTACTGACGGTCTATAGAGCTAGAACCATCTGGTTTGAGGAAGAAACTGCTAGGACTTAGAAGTCAAACCCCACTATGGTTTTAGCTTAAAGCTAAAGTGTACTTTTTTGGAAAGGTGTACTTTTTGGCAAAAAAATAGATATTCTAGCTAGCTTCCAACTGGACATATAGCCTGTTAAATCAGGTGTGACGCATTTTATCAGAGAAAGTAGTAGTCTTGTGGATTGTGCTGCGTTTGGCTGTAGAATAAGTGACTAAGTCTTTAACAAGGTTAAAAATCAGCCCCTTATTTTTATGCATAAATATGGTTCACGAAGTCTAGATTTAGGTACTCTTTAAAAATCTTAACCTAGAAATCTAACAATTAATATTGATACACATATTAGTAAAAAATGTAGCTAGCACTTGCTTATTTCCTCTACTTTATAGAATAATTATTTGGAATAGAAGTTTTTATATTGGGTTTTCTGTTCGTATAAGTATGGTTCTACTATAATTTAACTTTATAAATTCTTTCTAAGTTCAGTTTAAATTTACATCTAAATTATGCAAAGATCAGCCATTACACTCTGTCAGATAAAGCAATTAAAATAATTCTTAATACAGTTCTTGTCTCCAAAGACCAAATAGCCATTTAATTTAGCGTAGAAGAATCACACATTTAGGGCTTATTTGTGTTAATGCACAGGAGAAAACCACTAAACAAGTGTTTCAAAAATAAGTTAGTGTTGCCAAGAAGCTATTCTCTGTGCCTGGAAGAGGTGGTGAACATCCAGAATCAAGTTCTTAAGACTGTTTTACATTTTGTGTCATGTTGCAGTTGTTGTCAGTCCCTGTCTGGTCAGTGTGCACTGGACAAGTCTTGCATATGAATGCCTGTTTACATTTGAGCATTTCTTTCTTCCAGTCAGTGGCAATGGAAGATGCAATGCTGCAGTGCCTGGCAGTTCTCCTGGGCTGCGTCAACTACTTAGACTCCTTTCTAAAGGTCTCCATGCCATACTCAGGCAGTACACAACTATCTCAATCTGAGTGATGAACCTCCTCCAGTTATGTGCTTCACTTTACCATAAACAGATGAGTGTGCAGTGTTTAACTAAGTTAGTATTTAGTAAGAGGTGCTAGCCCTAAAACATATGCAAAGATAAGAGTGTAATTTGATTCTTTATCTAATCCTTAATGCTTAGATGAGGAGTGTGGCTTGCATTACAACCTGGGCAAGGTAGTAGTTAGTTATTTCTCTTGCTTGTCTGACTTGTCAAGGTTTAAGTTAATTGCCTATTTTTGGTCATGATGTTCAGAATTTTTGATCAGGAAACACTTTTATATCAGCTATTCCTACAGAGTAGTGCAAATTTGTGATTCTGGGTATGAGAGAGATAGCAATACATTCCCTTTATCAAATCCCAGACTGGGTCAAATCAGCTGTAATGTGGGGTGAGAGGAGGAACTGACCGTGAAGGACAAAACGGGCACTTTGAGAGCCAGGGAATGGGGTAGAAGAGCATTGCTGCAGGAAAGCCTCAGTGAGCACAGAACTGTAGGGTTCTTTTCCCTGGGATCAAATGCTCTGGTTTGCCTCAAGGGGAGATGTGATGGAAACCCTGGGACGTAATCCTTGAAGCGTGTCCTAAACTCTCTCGTCTTTTGGTCAAAAGGCAAAATCTGGGCTTAAACCATTGCATTACAACAAGTTCAGGTTTTCATAGCAATATGACTTGTCTGTATGCAGTGAATATTACTCTGCTGTATGAAATTCGTATTTTAATTCATATTCAATATTAGGTGGATGCCTAAATGTGGCTATTATAACACCTAAAAATTACTTCTGTACTTGTTAGTCTGTTTGCAAATTAAGTAGAAAGGTAACAGTTATTTTCTGCTTTTGGAATAAGATATGCCTTGTCCTGCACACCACAAATTAACAAAGCCTTGTTATGTCTTCAGAGTTACAATATACAATTTGCAAATGTACAGCTTTTAAGTTGCTTGTCTTCATGAAAGGTGAGCGTAGGACTGTGCTGAATTTCATTCTGTTGACTGTTGAAGTGTTACTACAGTTTTGTTCAGTTGGTGTCCTATAGTACAGTGGGAGATCCTTTTCTCTCCTCCATCCTCCCACTGGTAGTTGGCAAAGCAACAGAGATCTGTTGCATAAAATACTGATCAAATCTGTATTTCCTCATAGCTGATGCAAAGAAGGTTGTTTATTTCATTTTTACCTCCAAAACTAGCTTGGATTTTCTGACCTGTTTTAGGTATGTCACTCTGCAAAAATCTCCTCACAAAACACTGAACTAGTACATTGGCTTAGTGGAGAGGGAGCAATGTGCTAAAAAGTCTATGGAAAGCTTTATTAATTGCAGAACTATCCCTTGATACCCTAACTTAACTAAACATATGGATAAAGGAGCAATACAAGCAAACAAAATTGTTTAGCTATTTGGACTGGAATTCAAATGTTGGAGAGTGTTTGTGATGCAGCCGTTAGTGATCCGGCTGTGCATATTCAGTATGGGAAACTACTTTCTTCAGATGGGCATGGAAACGTTGCTCATGGCTAGAACGTCCACAGTTTTGTATTTGGCGGTGAAGTGACGTATGTCTTACCTTTAGCAGCGTATGTCTAAGCTACAATTAAAATATAAAGTCTGGACTATCCTTGTAGTTAGACTTTTAGTGGAAGTAGATAATGTTTAGTGCACAGTCGTCTTGTGAGTTTTGACTTGCTTTTATGGATTTGAGAATTAAGGAAGGGTTTCTGAAGGGGGGAAAAAAAGAATATTTGGAGTTAGAGGTAGAGTCCTCCTGAGTCTGTGAGTACAGAAGAACTGAATCATTCTTTCTAGTTTACTCTTAACAAGAAATTTGTAAACTAAGCTCAGATACTTGCATTTGCACTGTCTTATTTAAAGCTTTTGGGGTGTTGTCATATTTTGGGTTTTTGCTTGTTGTAATTATGATGGCCTTAATACTCTTAAGGATTTTAGTTCCCCTTTCTTTTGCCTAGAGATCATTCCTATTTAACTCCTCAAATGCTGGAATGAATGGGATAAAAATGCAAAGGTGTGTGTGTGTGGGGGGGGAGCACACCTGGAAAGCACTGTTATCTAAATAGCTTAAACTTTTGCAAGTAGCAACAGGTTATTTTCAGTGTTGCCTTATTAGAAATACCTGACTATCCCGGTTCTCTCTGTTCAGTAGCAACTGCAGTTTGCTTTTGTCTCATAGGCAAGCGCTTAAGATATTGCTCGGAAACTTGAGCCTTTTGGCATACAAAGTTAAATGATAGAAGAAGGAATGAATATGAAGGGAAGGCAGAGAAAGTAGAGCAAAAAAGGGTTTCTAAGCTGAAGCCAGCACTAAAGCTTAACTGAATTAGGAGTCAAAAATTCACCAGTGCTTTGAATGACAGTCTCCTTACTGAGAAAAGAGAAACAGCGTGTTAAAAGGGTTAATACTATTCAAGATGTTTGGTGTTCCACAGCAGTAGTATTTTGAGCTTCAGGAGCTTTGCACATGCTTAGTGTTGTGCATTTGGAGATTTTTGTAAACTACAGAAATGCATAACACTGTTGGCCAGGTGGGAGTCTGCTTCCATCTGTGCCATTTTCTAGTCTATGTCCTTTTAGATGAATGCTTGTAGATAACTATATTGCTAATGTTTTTATGCTTGTACGGATATATTTCTCCTTTGCACCTGCATGGATTTTTGATAAAAATGAGAGTTCGAGTGATCATGTAGAGAAGCTGGTATGTGCGATTCCCACAGAGAAGTTAATTTGAAACAAGGGTCAAATTCTTTGTACTTCAGTACATTACAAGTGTGACAATATTAAAGAAGCTGAATTAATAATATAAAGTTATTAAAAATAACCACTTGAGTTGGGGCTACAGAAATGTATAATTTAGTCATAGGCTGCCTCTAGCTTTAGGTGCAGTTAATCATTTGTGTTCACTGCAGTGTCCTGAACCCTCGTTCTCGTTGTTCCTTATGGGCCAACTGCTAAGACCCCATGATGGTGAATATTGCTAATGCCTTTCTTTTTCAGTAATCCTTTTCCCTAGTCCAAAATCAGGCTATGCATGAATGTTTATAACCATGTGCATTCAGGGTTTAAAAATTTTCCCAAAGGCGCTATCCTGCCTGAATAATTATGGAGGTTTTGCAAAAATGGTTTATTTTATATTCTGTAATATCTATTCTAAATTCTAAGAATCTGCTAAGCTTTAATGTGACTCTGGAAAATAACTGTGGTCATAAAATATGGCATTGCCCAAATTATCTCCATATTTCAGTGAGCTTTGTAGTCTCAGCAAAGTAGTAGTAGTAGTAAAAACTTGTATAGAAACTGATTATCTCTGTAGCAAAGTTGAATTCAGTTTTCCCTGAAGATAAAATTGAGGCTCATTTTATTGATGAGTCTGAGAGCTAGGACACTAGGTTCAATTTAACTTTTTCTAAACTGTCATCCGTTTATCAGTCAGAAGTCTTTTTAATGCCTTGCAAAGGTCATACGCTACTCCTCTTCATAATGTAGCTATTTTGACATTATCTTAAAATCTGGTGTTGCCTGATGTGCAATTTAAAGCACTAATGCATGCATATAGTTCACTAACAAAAAATTTTAGACATAGGCAACTCCAATCTGTAAATAAACAAATTTTAAATTTTAACTCTTAGGAAATTATAGCTAAGAAGTTGCTAATAATGTTATCAAGTTAGCTTATCAAAGCTTTCCTTATTTTGCCTTTTGAATCATTTTTACTGTTTAGTTGTCATCTTCGTTGCTGTTATGCAGTTTTTTGTATTTCAGTCAATTCAAGAGAATGGTTATATGAAATCTTTATCTGGGAAATTTGCCAGATAGTGAGTTTCTGAAAAAGTATCCCAATGTATGAATAATACTTAAAAGATTAACTGTTTCAATCCCTGAGCGAATTAAGATAAACATTTTAAGATTTGTTTAAACAAAACCTATCTGGTGCAAGCCTCAAAATATATTTCAATAAAATTAGACATTACTCAGGTGTGGAGTTGGACACAGCTTCCTGCTCCAGACATTTACTGAATATTTTTGTGCATACAATATTTTCATCAAACCATACTATTTTTTTTAATGTGGCCTTTTTCAATGAAAAATTTCGATTTTAAGTAAACTATCCTGTTTTCCTTATAATACTGAGGAGTTTGGACTCAAAACTCTACGTTATATAAAAAGATTCAGGATAAAGTTTATATTTGTGTTAATATTTGGTGTTCATACTGAAAAAAAACGTATCAAGCAAATTAGAGCAAAACCATTACTTGTGGCACAGAAAGTATTCATCCGTATACAATTTCATCCCAAAGACATTGCTTAAAGAATTCAATCTTCTGAGTATAAAACAATCCTGAAGATTCTTTAGCAGTTTATTTGGCAGGAAAATTGCCATTAATTCAGAATAAAACCAATAAACTAAAACATTTGCTAATATGGGCAGCTCAGAGGCCTTTTTTTTTTTTTTTTACAGAATTTAATAAATGAATTCAACAAATTAAGAAACAAAATAAAACATTTTGTCAAACTTTTTTTTAAAGTTGCATTTAAAAAAAGCTCACTTATGTCTTAAATCATTAACATCTCAACTAATATGAGCAAAAATAGGTGAACAGTAAGTGGTTTATAGAGCTTTGAAATCTACCTTAAATGTCTGCCCTAGCTTTTTGTCATATTGAAAGTTTGAACAGAGATTTTGAAGCATTTGCAAGTTTTATTATTTCACAATGAAATATATGGGGCCGTTTGTTATGATTCAGGTAGTATATGGTTACACATATTTTACTTTTTTCTCTAGGAGCTGAGAGAAATACATAACAAACAGCAACTACAGAAACAAAAAAACTTGGAAGCTGAGAGACTGAAACAGAAGGAACAAGAAAGGAAGACAGTAGAACTGGAAAAGCAAAAAGAAGCTCAAAGGTAACAAACTGCTCTAGTTTCAGCTGTCTTTGTGGAGGTATCGAGTGCTAAGTGTTTTGCCAACAAGTATAATAAACTTTACATTTCCAGAAACATAATCTGATCTCAAATAAAACGTCACTAAATGGGAAGAATATCTAAGACCTAGATCAGCTTTCAGTTCAGTGCAGATGGCCCCTTTGGAAATAAGGCGAATCTCTTGATCTGTCCTTGAGTGAAAAGTGTGTTGTGGAGGTGAGGTTTTACATCTTTCTGCGACTCTCTACCATCAATGACATACACAGATATTTACAAATTTCACTTAAATGCTTAGTGTGTTTCTAAACCTAGAGATGTTCTTGAACAGTGTAACACGTTCTATCTCTTATACTAAAACAAAATACAGAGGTAATATTTTTTTCGCTACACATTGGGTAATTTGTTTTTCATGTGTATTTTTATTGTAAGACATGTTATTATAAGAAATAAATGACATGTAGGCTAGCAACTAGTTCTCTCTGACATCATTCATCTGCAGCTTTTTGCTTTATTTTTTGGAAGTTGTGGTGTTTTTATACTCTTGATCTAGACAGACATTTGCTCACAGAATCACAGAATGGCTGAGGTTGGAAGGGGCCTCTGGAGATCATCTAGTCCAATTCCTTTGCTCAAGCTGGGTCACCTGCAGCATGTTGCCCAGGACAGTGTCCAAACAGCTTTTCAGTATCTCCAAGGATGGAGACTCCACAACCTCTCTGGGCAACCTGCTCCAGTGCTCTGTCACCCTCACAGGAAAGAAGTTTTTCCTCATGTTCAGAGGGAACTTCCTGTGTTTCCAGTTGTGCCTGTTGCCTCTGGTCCTGTCACTGGGCACCACTGGAAAGAATCTTATCCCATCCTCTTGACACCCTCCCTTCAGATACTTGTAGACGTTGATCAGATTCCCTCTCGGTCTTCTCTTCTCCAGGCTGAACAGGCCCCGCTCTCTCAGCCTTTCTTCATAGGAGAGATGGTCTGGTCCCTTCATCATCTTTGTAGCCCTTGGCTGGACTCTCTCCAGAAGCTTCATGTCTCTCTTGTACGGGGGAGCCCAGAACTGGAGAACTACTCCAGATGTGGCCTCACCAGGGCTGAGGAGAGGGAGAGGATCCTCCCCACCCCCTCCCCGAACCTGCTGGCAACACTCTGCCTAATGCACCCCAGGATACCGTTGGCCTTCTTGGCCACGAGGCCACATTGCTGGCTCATGCTTAACTTGTTGTCCGCCAGGACTCCCAGGTCCTCTTCTGCAGAGCTGCTTTCCAGCAGGCCAGCCCCCAGCCTGTCCTGGTGCCTGGGGTTCTTCCTCCGCTGGTGCAGGACCCTGCACTTGCCTTTGTTGAACTTCAGGAGGTTCCTCTCTGCCCAACTCTCCAGCCTGTCGAGGTCCCTCTGAATGGCAGCACAGCTCTCTGGTGTGTCAGCCACTCCTCCCAGTTTTGTTTCAGCAGCAAACTTGCTGAGGACATGCTCTTTGCAGCAAATGTGCTGAGGAAGCACTCTATCCCTTCCTCCAGGTCACTGCTGAGTAAGTTAAACAATACCAGGCCCAGTATTGGCCCCTGGGGGACACCACTAGATACAGGCCTCCAACTAGACTCTGTGCCACTGATCGCAACCCTCTCAGGTATGCTATTCAAGCAGTTTACAGTACACATCACTGTCTCCTCATTTAGCCTATAGGTGAAAACAAAGGCCTGTGAACCAGGGGACCTAAATTACTGGTTACAACATTACACTGACCTCAAGCAAATTGATAGTCTGTGTAATTGCTTTGAGTCAAATTTTTACATTTCAAGCAAAAACAAAACAAGGATCTCAATGAAAACCTTATCTTCAAACAGAATCTTCTAACTAGAAAGTAGGTAAGTTTAGACAAGTTATTTGCATAAAGTCTATGCCTTTAAAAATCTTAAGCATCAGCTGCAGAAAAGTTCTTAACAGAACACCTTTGTATGATGGAGGAATGACTACACTTAGTATGGTAATTATGTTGGAACATTCCAGGAAACTGAGAAGGCTGCTGAGGTATTGGGAATAGGAACATTAAATACTCCATGGCAGAATATTTTAAAATATTCTATTTACTTCCAAAAAGGATTAAAAGAACAAACTCCTGCCATGGAAAACTTCATATCTGACTCTTCATGCCAGATGAGCATTCAGGCATTATTGGTAATGCAAAATGTCATGCAGCCCAAATGTTTAAGCTTCTAGGTAGTAGTAGTTGCTGTACTTGATAATGAGCAGTCTACCAATCGTACTGATTTCTAACAGCCACCTAAATGAACCAGGCAGGTGATTAATACGTCAGAACCTGGATATTGCCCTGTCATGCTTACAGAAATATACCACGTTTTAATGTTTCTGGTAACAGGAAAGAAAGAATAGTCTAAAATCTATGTGCACTTTAGCCTTTGGTTTAATGAATAACCACATTCAGTGTGTTCTGAGAACCACATCAACAATATTGTATTGGTAATTATGCCTTGAGTTGTGTATGTAACTTATTTAATTGAGCAAACAAATATGCATATTTACATATTTGATAACCATAGAGGCTTTTCTGAATATCTTAAGTCTAATTATGTGCAGAGTTGTGTGGTTGGGGGAGTAATACACAATTCAGAGGAAAAAGAAAAACATTTGAGTACAATGAGCTTCCTCTCAGTCTTTGGGATAAGAACTGCCTGAGTGGTATGATGTGGTTGGTGAAAGAAAAAAGGAAATTAAAAAAGTGGAAACAAATGTAGGTAAATCCCAGATTAGAGGTCATATTCCACAATAAGTATCACATCAGAAGTCTTAAAGTAATGAAAAGACTCTCAAGTCTCCTGTTCCTACCCCCAAGCTGTGGAGCTCACCACTAGGCTTTCTTCAGCTTCTGTCTCTTATTCTTTTCCTTGTCTTCAACTTCAGCTGTATGTAATATTAGCTTCTATAACAATCAAAGAAGAAAATTCTTCAGTTTCTCTGGAAGAACACCTCCCTTTGTCCCTCCTCCCCCCACCAATAAAACCTAACACATTTCATCACTACAGCAGTTGGAGCTAACGTGGCTTATAAGTGTGGGGGGACTTAATCACTCTACTAGAAACATAATTTAAAACTCAGCTTGCCCTCTAAAGCCCATATGACCAAACTCAGTCGCCAGTAAAGTCCAAAGAGAATTCGAGCTATGCATGTGCATATGGTGCAGCCTCAGTGTTGCAGCAAAACTGCTGAATAACTGGCTCTGAATACTTTGCAAGTGAATGCATCAAGGACAAATTCAGTGTTTGAAGGAAGAGGCTGACAGAGCAGAGAATTTATAAATTTAGATGACTTTACACTGGAGGCAGAAAAGTCTAACAGTAATTCACAGAGGAGGAACTGATATCCTTCACACTCGTTAGTGTCTTCACCTATACTCAGGGTGTAATGATGCAGAGTATTTAAATGGCATCAGCGATTTCATTTAGGACTAAAGATTTTTTGACTTTGTAAGTAATTGCCATCTTACACAAGCCATTGTTACTGGGTACCTTCAGATCTCTCAGAAAATATACCTGTGAACTGAAAACTTACATTGACAGAAGATGAGATTTTGCTCTCTGATGCCAACCCGGTGTTTGGAAAATGGTTTTTTCCCCTTAGGGAATTTAGGGTTTTTTCATGCAGTTTTTTGGCCAGGAAACTGTATTGTCCTTGCACAAAATATGTGCTATGCAGTAGGCCAAGTCTGCAATGACCGGCTTGTTGTGTGTTTTTCACTAATTTTAAAAGTATGAAAAGCATATGGAAGTGGAATAGGTCATGGAAAAAAAGGATAGACGTGTGTCTACATCTGTTACAGCCTTGTAGTTGTCTTTATCGGTGCAAAATGTTTCTTGCAGAGTATCCTAATTCTTTTCTTCTGTCTTCTTGTCCTCTCTGGAGGGAAGGGATTTGTTAACTTCTACAGTTGGGAATGTGAAATTTTCTGAATAGTTCGGCAAGGGTGCTGTATGGACCTGGTAAATATCTTTACTCCTTGTCCCACAACAGGATTGGCATTCTCTTCTGATTACTGCTCTGTTGCCGATCTCACTATTTTGAGACTTACCTAGAGGTGTTTGTTGCTTTGAGAAAATAAGGAGAACTGATTTGGCTGCTTGAATGCTTCCTGCATTTTAAAGCTAAAGTCAGTGCTGAGTAGAGAAAAATTAAAGGGTACGATCTGCTGCTGCTTGTATTTCAAGGAGAACTTTATAGTATGAATTCGATATTGCAAATGTTTAGTTGTAGCTGTGGCTGATATCTACAAGCCTAGATTGAGTCAAAGGAATTGTGGGGCAGGTGAAAATGAAATTGGTATCCTGCAATGCTGATTGCTTGAACTAGGCTGCTTGGGAAGTGGCTTTGAAAAGCAGTCTTGCAGTTCCAGGGTCCTGAAGGGTACTTCATCTTGGTTCTTGCTTGTTAAGGAGTTTTGTATCTTCAGCCAAGGGGGATTTTGTTTTTCCTCCTTCCTCCTTTCTCCATATGGTTCGTCACTTAAAATAACTGCATGGGATTTGTGAGTGCTGTGAAAAACCATGAAAAAAGAATACACAAATATTGTTGAACCCCAGGCTGAGGCACAAATACTGTTAAATTGCAGACCTGGGACTGAAAGTATAAGATACTGCATTTTATCAAGCTTATAATTCTCAGAGCATTATGAGCTCAACAGATACTGCTTTTTTTTTTTTATAAAAAGAACAAAGGTCTCTTACAGATTTCTGAAGACACCTATAAGAATCTATATTTCTTGCAGATTTCTTAAGAAATCTTTCTTAAGGGTGGTTGATAACTGACTTTATGACAGAAGTCATAAAGGGTATACAGCTAACTTTTATGGCCTTTTGTCTGACTGACTTTAAAAAAGAAATTAATTGTCCAACAGGCGAATCCTGGAGAGGGATAAACAGCGGCTTGATAGAGTGCAACAAGAAGAGGACCTTCAGCGACAAAAAAAAATTCAGGAAGATGAAAAGCAAAAAAGGGAAGAAATAACCAAGAAGAAGGAAAGTGAGGATAAGGGGAAACCGGAAATGCAAGAAAAACTGAGTAAGCTTTTCCAACCACATCAAGAGGCAGTCAAGCCAGCTGTCCAGGCTCCTTGGTCAAATGCAGGTAGAGCAAAAAGTCATGAAATGCTGTTGCATGTGCCTCTTGAACAAATCTTTCCTCGGCTTTGCCGTCTTATTTAATACAAAAAGTGTTATGTGTCAAGAGTGGGGTGCTAGTTTTACTGAAGTAAATCAGATATTTAAGGTTTAAGTTCTAGACTCCAAAAAGCTGATCTCTTTTAGGCTTCGTTATTCTTCCTGAAAATACAGTGTTTAGCAGAGGGAGTAAAGCATAGTTGATGAGAATCACAGTGCAAACTGAAGAGAAAATACTGGCCGTAAAAGATCCAAACTGAAGAGAAAATACTGGCCGTAAGATGGTGAAAGATCTTATGGGCTTCTAATTACAACTCTTATGTTGATTTGCAATACATACTTTGGGTTTCTTTAGAATAGTAGCAGTATGTCATTTATTTACCTTTTTCCTCCCCCACTTCACCATGCATGTTGTCTACTGAACAAATGACATGAAGTCTATGATTTCATCTCCTTTCTTCTGCTGTGCACATGATCGCTTTCAGCTGAGAGCTTCTCCCCTGCATTCTAACCTGATTTTTGTCTTTATTTGAAGTAACTGAGTCATGGTTCCTTCTTCAGTGACTTGGATACATACACAGGAGAGAACTGACTAGGAATGTAATGTTTGCTTACATAGTTTGTTGAAGGATTACATAAAGGAGAAATTATCTTTTATCTTTTAGCGCTAATCTAGAGGTGACTTAGTCAATTATATCACCTTGCTCCGTTTTACTTGTGCAGAGTAGCAGCAGGCACTTTTATGACAGAACAGACAAAATAGGAAGTGTATTATACAGGTGCTATTTAGCTTATGTGTTTTTTTCTATTTTTTCCCCTGCATTTTTTTCACTAATAATGTGTCTTTAACCCAAGCATGTGATTTTTAAAACACCATCTGTAAGTGACATCTTTTCAGCTAATCCGTATGTATTAGGATATTTTGAAGCCTCTGTTTTGGAAGTATAGTCAGCCTGCAAATGAAGATGCTATATGTAAGCAGCCTGTAAAAGTTTTTGTGATGCTTTTGATATATACAAGAAAATCGGCGTTTGAATTGGACCTGTGGCTTATTGATCAGACTTAACCTACGAAATCACTGAAACATTTGAAAAACTATATATGCTGCATCCTAAGTACAGGAATGTTTCTACAAAAATGGCTGTATGTGTCATAAAAGTTAAAATATAGTAGTATTTTATACGGGTGATATTTAAAAGAGAAAATAAAAGGAAAATTCTATTTTGAATCATTCATTTGCATATTTCACCTTGTGTAATAGGGGGATAATGTACTTCCTATGGGCAATGTAAGGGTTTGTTATTTTTTGTTTCTGTTTTTCCACATCATTTTTCCAGTATTTATAAATAATATGTTTTGATTTTTTTTTTGTGTATGTGTTTTTTTTCTTTGCTCAGAAAAAGCTCCTTTAAGCATTTCTGCTCAGGAGGATGTAAAAATAGTGTATTATAGAGCATTGTATCCTTTTGAATCAAGAAGCCATGATGAAATCACTATTCAGCCTGGCGACATAGTCATGGTAAGAAGGGATTGTGATATTATTTGAAAAAAATTACTTAGACTTTTCCACTTGTGATTGAAAATATATATGGCAAGATTTTTTTTCCAAATTTGTGAAAAATATTTTAGTATATATTGAATGATACAGGATGTGATATTGCATATTAGCCCTATTATTGTAATGGATGGCTTCCTAGAGTTCATTGTAATGTAAAGTTTAAACATCATCTATGAACAGGTTGTATCAGTTTTAATGTGCTGAGTTGTGTGTCTCTCTGAGGTGTGAAGTGTTTGAAAATATTCCTAAACAAAAATTATCTCAGTGAGAAATTTCTTGTCCTTCAAACTAGCTAGGGGATATTGTTACTGTTATTTGCTATTAAGAGAGTGACTACTATGTGTTAAATTAAAAACTAGCTTTGATAAATAAAATATGTTTTTATAAAAAATTTACTTTTTTATAAGATTAATATTGGAGCAGTATTTACATTTTTAATTTAAAAAACATATAATTTTGAAAATTACCTTTATTAAGAGAACGTGATGCCTAGTGTAATACCACGTGAAATAATTATGCTAAACTAGGAGATGGCTACACTCTTGTCACAATCACATCAGCATTAACATAGTCTTTGTATGGTGCTGATACTTCTCCATTAGTACTAGAATTTTTTTTACAACTTTTTTGTGGCAGTTCTTGACATAATGATCTAGTATAATTGTTACTTGGAACTGTTTGTAAAATAATTTGTTCTATTCTTGTTTTTTTTTTCTTTTTTATTGACTTAAAAATAGCTAACTCTTTTGTGAGATACTTCTCCATTTATTTTCAGAGAGGAGATGAAGTAGAGAAAATGTTATCATTTCCTTAAAATGGAAACTTCAGAACCTAAAAATGTGATTGTAGATGTGCAATTAATAAATTGCTAGTATGATCTTAACATGCATATGTCTATTCATAATAAAAATTCCTAGTGTAAATATTAAATGATATCATGTTCACTTGTGGAGAAGTTTATTCAGTGTAGTGTTCTACTCAACAAAATATATTTTAAGAGCTGTTGCATTTTGACTGAGTTTGGTGAGGACTGATTTGGAAAAAAATGCACTTTGTAGGCTATCATTTAAAAAACAAAGCATGTATTCTGGGGGAAGTGAGCTTTCATCTCTCAGCCTTTTTTCTTTTTTTTTATTAAATCAGCTGTGTCACAACAGTGTTTGTGGCATTAGAATCTGCTCGTGAAATAATAAAGTGAATCCTGAATTAGTAGCACTACTGAGTGACTCAGGAAGAGGCTCAATCCTATTCTGAATAATAAAATGTGTTATTATTCTTCATTAGAAAATAATATTGGTCAGTCACCTGTTAAATTAGAGAGGATATAGGCACACAGGTCTCCTTAGGCTGTTGAAAAGTGCTATATCTTACTTTCTTAGGGAATAAATCGTAGGCTAGACACGTAAGAATTTTTTTTTTTTGGAGGAAGAGGATCACCATTAGGTATACTCAGCAGG